AGACAGAGTTTAAAGCCTCTACGAGGAGTCTGTACTATTAATCTGAGTGGGTCAAGAGGATTAAAGAGCAGCAGACTCTTCCCATCAGAGGTCATTCACTCCTCCATCCCTGTGCACAGGGAGAGACCCAGACATCCCTTTGCTTTGAAGGGAAAACGCAGAACTCCAGATATTTGTGCTCTGCACTCCATCATATGCCTGATTTTCAAAGTCAAACGTGGTCTGGGTGTAGGGGGGACTGTTCTACAAGCCAGGCCCACCAGAGCCTCTTCAACCAGCCATCTTGTGACATTTGGAATGAACACAAAAGAAACCACCACATTTGATGACATGAGACCAGACCCATTTTCATCTTATTCCCTACATGTGTGTTGGTTACAGTGGTTCAGAGAGTTACTGAACCCACATGCCACCACTTGGGACAGCATCCCAAAGCCAGTGTCCCCTCAGCACAGCAGAGAAAAGCACTGGAATCAGGCACTCCCGGCAGCCACCAAGGGCCGAGTGCTAAAAAGCCCATTAACGCAACAGCTGGAGGTGAGCCCTGAGCAGGGGTGCCTGCAGGAGCGGGGCACTCTCTGTGGGCAGGCCCCCCACTGGAGTCTCCCAGGACCTCCCAACCCAGCATGATGTGTTCACAAGCAGTGCTAGCATCTGAGTGGCTCAAGGGATATGGAGAGATGACCTGACTTACACTGGGTCACTTGAGAGGATTGCAGGGATTTAGGAACCTAAGTATACCCAACCTGAGACAACTGGGAATGCCGCGATGGCATCACACAGCCGCCAGCAGCTCCAGCCTACACAGGAAAACCTACTTTCTCTTGATATCAGGACAAAAAGGAATGAGGAAAATAGGCTGCAATTCTTGGCTAATGAGAACTTTGAGAAAGGAAAGGGCAGGTCAGACACTCTTGATGGCTGAGGACTGAAGCTGCTCTCCTCAAAAGACAACTTGAGCCTTCACATCCCAGAGAATTATAACCTGTGGTCGGGCAACTTCCTTCACGTCAGGAAAAAACAGAGGCTGGTACAAGACTTCAGGGCCTCACGTGGGCATCCACCTTGACCCCAGGGCTCCCCAACAAGTCTCCCTGCGGGCCGCTCCTTGAGGTCCAAGAAGAGGTGTTGACTGGCTCTATGCTGGCGAGATGGCCTGGCTCTTTACTAAAACCCCACGGGACAAAGCACCCAACCGTAGGCGAGCAGTGACAGGACATGTCAGTTCCGGGAGAAGCTTCGCTTACCACTGCCCCTCCCACATGGCCCACTCCCCATTAGAGTGTGGTGGCTTTTCTTAACCTCCCATCTAAAATCAGCAAGTAGGGAAGACGAGTTGGCTCCCCTTTGCCCCCCTCCCCACTCCTTTGTGGCATAAGGCAGGAAACCTTTTGCAAGGTGACAGCAGAGGAACAAGAGGAATTTGCTTAGAACCCACCACTGTCCCCAGAACCCCACCCACACCTAATAGCCACGTATGAGCTGTTAATCCAGAGCCCCGATGCCTGTGGGCTCCATGTGCCCAGCTCGGCGTCCTGCTGCAGCCATCCTAGCCAGTGGCCAGTGGAGGGGAGAGCTCCCAGAACCGGCTCTGTCAACGCCTAAGGACAGGTAAAATACCAAAGGCCACTCTGGAAGCAAGGTCCCATGCAGCTTATCTGTCACCCTGGTGATGAGCCATAAGGCAGAGACCATTAAGCACTAATATTCCTGTTTACAGGCATAGGTGTGCTCGGAAATTACATTTTGCAGACTGGCAGTGTGGACCGGCCTGCCAGCACTGACATAATTTTGGGTTGCTGAGTTCACTGGTCTCTGGCCCCTGCCAACCTGGTCTCAGATGGCTTCTGGATGCCAAGCCCAAAGAGTAGTCTCAGCACTTTCTCCAGCACCTGATTTCCTGGGAGCAGGGGGACACTGTCCCTGGCTGCCCAGGCCTAGGAGCTTAATGCCAGAGATGCAGCTTCAGAGGAGCCTGCCAGCAGGAGCTGCCCAGGCCGCTTAGCCGTGCTCTTGCCCATGAGACCTGAAGGGCAGGTCCCAGTACAGCCAGCCTTTGGAGCCCAGTCTTTAGGGTGCCAAGAGGACCCCAAGACTTCAGGCCACCATGGGCAGTGCCAGACCATAGCAAACCTCCCTCTCTACATCTGAAGATGGGAGACACCACAGCCAGCCTTGCCGGGCCCAGAGGGTGATCCGAGCAGCGTGTAGGGAGGAGTGGCCCAGTGCTGGCACAGCTGGAGTTCAGCATCATTATCCTAACTTTCGGAGGTTATGCTCTGAGTAGCCCAGACTTTCTGGTCAAATCCTGTCACTTCATTCTTGTTTTTGCTTCTTGAAGGTTTGAAAAGATGAGTATGTGGCATCTGATCACTGACTTCAGTATTTCCCCATTCCCTTCAAATCAGATCATTTTCATTTAAAAACCCTGGCCTCTCAGCACCTGGGTCACTAGCAGCTTTGTTGTTCTGTTGTCAGGGGAGAGTGTGAACACAGTCCCCTACTAGCAGACACCTGCCAGTAGAGACTTGCCCACACGGGGGGGGGTGGGGAGGGGTGTATAAACTGCACGGATCAGCCCATCCTCAGTGCAGCAGAGGAGCCTGGTCTGGGGGTAACCACTTCTGTGACCACGTCATCTCTCCCCTGCCAGCCGAGTACTGTCTTAAAGCGCCAATACTGTGTGGATCCACATTAAAACAAAAGCACCATCCCAGCATGGCCAGATTTTGTCCACAGGGAGCATCACTTGGGCTCTGCTTGTTATCTGTCTTCGTCCTCCTCCTGTGCCAAGCCTGCCCGTGGCAGAAGACGCTCCTCCTGACTTTGGTTCTGAAGAGATGAGGGCTGCAACCCTCCTGAGTCACCCACAGAGGGACATGGGGGGTGCTGCTGATGCCCTCTCCCACTGCCAAGAGGGGCCCTGCACTGCCTGGCAGCCCAGCCTTGGCCCTTTTGCAGTGGGGGTGCTTCTCCCTCCTCTGTGCCGCAGGAGGAACACCAGGCCTCAGAAGCATGTTGCATGTGGCACTAGCCCAAAGGTTGCAGACTGGGTTTTCTCCCAGCACCGTGGCCCCAGGCCAGTGCAGGAGCCTCAGCTGGCCTCAACTCCCACAGTGACTTGGTGCAGGCCGTGTTTCTGTGCGAGGGCCTTCCCAGTTCCGAGATTCTGCTTCTTTCACTTAAAACAAAATGCATGGAGATAAAGGCTTACATAAAGAGAGCTGAACTTTTTTCAGTAGGAGAGTTTATCATCTGACAGTTGGGCAGCACCTTGGTTGGAGACATTTTATCTAGATTTGATTATGAAATGTACTTGCAAAACCAGGGTTTTCCAGGCTGAAGAGTGAGTGTATGACGCTCTCATAGTTGCCTGGGTTAAAAGGAGCTATCTTAGTAAGGAGTTGCTACCCGGGGAAATAAAATTGGGCCATGAAAACTATGTCAAAGAAAACTGACAAAGCCTGCTTGGTTCTTGAGAGTTTTTTGGATAGGAATTGTTCTTTTGAGGGATAAAAGTTCCAAATTATGTCTATAAACACAAAACCATGACCTCTGCAAAAACAATTTCTTCCAGTTGCTATACTTTTTTTCCTCCAGACGTGGCCTTAAAATATCGGCTAACAAGAAAGTGGTACCACAATAGTGAGAAACTACCCTTCCAAGGGGAACACCGGGAAATCTTGTTCACCCATACTTTATCAGAAGACACTCGTTCTTTCTTTAAATCACACACACACACACACACCCGCCTTCCGATAAGCCTGGGCCTCGGCATAAGCACTCAATACTATCCCCACAAGTTAAAAATTTACCCTCGCTACACTTAACTCTGGCAAAGTCACAAACACCGTAAGTGAACCAAGGAAAGAATGGCAACTGGGCCAGACACCATCCGAACCGTCCACAGACATAAGAGGATCGTTTTGGAAGTTAAAGGCACAGGACTAAGTAATCAAACAGCTTAATGAAGAAAGAGGCTGGAAGCTCCGCCCTTCCCCTTTCCGGCATCTGAGTCCGTCCATCTCGGGTTTTGTCAACCGCCTGTTTCAAGAGCTTCCCTGTTACTCAGAATGCCACCTGTACATTTTGGGAAGGAAAAAAAAAGCCCAGAAGATAGGCCTCCCCTCCTCCCAGGTCTGTGTACAGAGGCACCCATTTCAATTCAATCCCGGGGCAGAGTCCAAACAGGGAGGGAAGACGCAAGGGTCAAAAGGACCCCATGAGTCCGATCTAGTTGTGAAAAAGGAAAAAAATAGTGCTTTCTGTAGTTGGGATGCAGACCAAGGCGCCCCCTTTCCTCCGGGAGGACCCCCTGGCCTCCAGCCTGACCAACCCCCGCTCAGGACCAGAGCTTCCCACCCCGCCTCCTGAACGCGCCCGGCAGGAGGAGCGCGCAGGGACCACCGCGGCAGACGAAGGGGAAGAGGACGGGCGCTCCGGGGCCGGGCCCGGCCCACGCCGGCCCCGCGCGCAGGCCCGGGGCTGCGGGCGGCCGGCCGGCCGGGCGGCGCGCCCAGTAGGGAGCGCCCGCTGGGGGAGGGGCGGCGCGCTCCGGTGGGAGCGGCCCGGGGGGCGGCCGGCGGGCGCGGGGGGCGGCCGGGGGCTGGGGCCGGGGCGGGAACCCGGGGAGGGCTTCGCGGAGGGGGCCGGCCGCGCCGCGGGCCGCACCTGGTCGGCGAAGTCCTCGGCCGTGCCCATCAGGTCGTTCTGGCCCATGGCGGCGGCGGGGGACTCGACTCGCTCGCTCGCTCGGCGCCCGGCCCGTCGGCACCCGCGCCCGCTGCGGCCTCCACAGGAAGTGCCCCGCGGCCGGCCTCGCTGCTAGTCGGCGGCTCCGGCGGCTGCCACGTAGGCCAAGCCTTAAAGGGGCCGCGCCGCCGGGCCCGCCCCGGCCGCGCCTTAAAGGGGCCGCGCGCCGCGCTCGAATCCCCGCCCCCCGCGTTCCGGCCCGGCTGCCCTCAGGCCCCGCCTGCCGCGTTTTTGAGGTCCCGCCCTCCTGGCCCCGCCCACCGAGCGCTGTACGGCTCGCAGGCCCGAGGACCTACCTGCCCGGGACTGGCGCGGTCCCCCAGTGGGGAGAGCCCCGGGGTCAGGCAGATACGCCCGGGGCCAAGTGTCGCCCCAGGGTGGGGGGATGGGTGCTCAGCCGCCCGCGGCCCCTACCGAGCATGCTCAGTCGAGGGTCCGACTGCCGGCTCCGGCCTGGGGCGCCCGCCACCACCCTGCGGAGGGAGAGGAAGCGGGAGTGTCCCTTCCAGACACTATGGAAAAGTACCAGGTGCCCGGCTGTCCCCTGGCGGGAGGCGGGGGCAGCACGGGGCCGACGGTCGGGGCGAACCCGAGGCCTGGGCCTCCTGCCACCACTCCAGTCCCCTACTGACTTAACGGTCACAGCCCCTGGAGCGGTGGCCCGCGGCCCGGTCCCCCCCCCAGGTAGGCAAGGGGCCTGTGCTCCAGCCAGGCACCTCCAAAGGCGACCCCTTCGGCGCTCCTTTCCCCTCTGGCCCTCAGTTTCCCTCAAAAATGATGAATGAAATGAAGGCCTTTCCAACCCCTTTTCGTCCGAGTATTTGGGGGCAGTGGACAGCTCCATACTTCCCACCATGGGTCCACGTGCTTTGCGCCCAGGAAGAGAGGACCCCCCCTAGAATGCCCAGAGTTCAGAATCAGGAGTCCCTAAACTCTTTTTTTTTTTCTAATTTTTTATTAAGGTATGATTGATATACACTCTTATGAAGGTTTCATATGAAAAAACAATGTGGTTACTACATTTACCCATATTATCAAGTCCCCACCCAGACCCCAATGCAGTCACTGTCCATCAGTGCAGCAGGATGCCACAGATCCACTACGTCCCTTCTCTGTGCCACACTGCTCTCCCCGTGACCCCCCCACACTATGTGCACTAGACATAATGCCCCTCCGTCCCCTTCTCCCTCCCACACCCCTCCCCTTTGGTGACCACTAGTCCCTTCTTGGAGTAAGAGTCCCTAAACTCTTGAAACACCAAACAGTAGACCCATGTAGGGGGATGTGGGCCTTTTCCAGGGCCTGTGAAAATGTTTTAAGACCTGAAAAATTCAGAAAAGAAAAGCTGCAAAATAAAAATGAATAACTTATACATGCATCTGTACATAATATATCAGCCCTCTTAAATGTTAGAGTCCATCTTTGTAAGATTCCCTTAATTTGAAAACAACTTGCCAATCAGATTTTTCTCACTTTACAAGAATCCCTTTGTGTGGGAGGACCCTAGAGGAGTAGGCCATGGCAAAGCAGGTAGGCTTCTGGAAAAATCTTCCCAGATGTTCTGGATAAAAACAATGGACTCAATGGACTCATCTGAGATATGAATGTGTTGTTACCGTGTAATTTGCCACCTAAGAGGACCTAGGTATGTGCATTCTTGTATCAACTTCGGCCGATCTCGACATTGTTCCTGTCATTCCCAGAGCAGAATTCAGGCTGCTGTCGGGAGCCAGATTACAGAATCCTAAGGCTTTTCTGGACTCGTAGGGTCCTTAGACTGAGGGTTCCATCTCCTACCTCCCCTCCCCTGCATCCTGCCCCCCTCTCTCATCCTCTGACAAATGCAGTCGCACCATCCAACCCCTGCACCCCATAGTCCTTCGCCTCACTGCCCAGAGTCCTGGCATGGTGGCCATCTCTCTGCAGGTTTGGTTCAAAGCACAGGCTCTGGAGTCATACCCCAGAGTTCCAGTCCGATCCAGGGCACTTCACTTACCAGCACTGTGGCTCCAGGCAAAGACCTAGACCCTGTGCCTCAGTTTCCTCCGATGTGATGATGGAGATCACCCTAGTGCTGACTGCAGGGGTGGCTGCACAGTGCCAGGCACACATGGCTGTGACTAGGCACCAGTACAGACCAGTTACTTTCTTTGGATGCCCAGTTTGGAGGTGGATGCTAGAAGTTAGGGCAAAGAGGGCTAGAGAGAGTGAACAAGCCCCTCTGAGGGATGTGCTGGCTCTTGGACACCAGCCAGTCTTCTCAGCTGACTAGAGAAGAGCTGGGTGGTGGAGGAGCTCCAGAATCAGTCCCAGAGAGATGGGCTCAGGTTCCAGGTTTTGCCATCCAGGGCCTCATCAGCCTGCTGGGCGTTTCTTTGTCTGCAAATGGGGCAGAGACCCTTGTTCTGCCAGCCCACAGGGTAAGTTAAGACCAGAAGGTGTGTCGAAGTTGGGCACACTTTGGAAAGTGAAAAGCCGTGTGCATTTCCCAAGACCTTCTCTCTCTTGCTGGTAGGTTTTGGACCAGTTGAGCCCTGGGGCCTTGGGGGTGAACCTAGTGGTGGAGGAGACAGAAACCAAAGTAAAACTCGTGATAAAGCAGGTAAGGGGCCACGCCTGTGGCATCCTAGTGAGGGCGCCTCCCCCAAGCCCCTTCTCATGCCTGTGAGAGAAAGTCTTCCCAATGCCACAGCTGGACTCCCTCTGTCAGCAGTCACAGTGACACATGCAGTCGGGGGTGACAATGGGATGGGGCAAGGTTCCTCGGGCTTACCCACCCACCACTTCTCTCACCTTGATGACAAAAGAATGCTCAGTTTCACTCCAGCAACTACCACAACCACACCTACCCCTCAGTCAGTGTGTGCTTCATGCCAGGTAGCATCTGGTTTATTTCCCACCGGCCACCCCTGCACAGCAGGAGCCATGACCCCACCTTGCAGCCAAGGATAGGGAGGTGTGGGGAGCTGCAGACTAATCAACATCACCCAGCTCCCACGATCACTTGAATTCAGGCCACCTCCCTGGGGGCCACCAGTTTTCCAAAGGGGAGCCAGGGACTTGTCCAAGGGCACTCAGGTCTGAGGACGCTGGGCTCTGGGCCCTGCCGCCACCTCCTCAGCAGGGCTGGCATGGCAGGGTGGGATGCACACCTTTGTGTGTCCAAGACAGGGTGGTCTAGATGAATGGACGGTCTGGGGGAAGAGAGCTGACTAATCCTTGAGGCACATGCTGACGGCTGGGACCTCACGGGATGGGCGTTGACTGTGCAGATGAAAGAGCCTTGCTGGTGGATGGTGGTGACGGTGGTGGAGGTTGGGGGGAGCTGATGACGGTGAGGGAGCTGGTGATGGGGCTGAGGGTGTGAGTGGGGGTGGGGTGAGGGGATGGTGGCTGGGGGGTGGGGATGGTGGTGAGAGCTCACTGCGCGTCTAGTGAGCAGTGCTCCCGTCCCCCTGCAGGTACAATGCATTGATGAGTATCATGCCAACAAGGCCCTGGAAGAGGTAACGAACTCTCTGGGTGCTTCCCCGGCTGGAGTGTGTGATGCGGAACGCACACCCGCTGCTCTGCGCCCTCCTGCGGGGTGGCTGGGTGGAACCCGGGTGGAGGCATGGAGGCTCAGAACCAGCTCTTGCCCCAGGCCAGAAGCCCCCAGGTCGCGAAGGGTGTCTGTGCTCCGAACACTCATTTCTAAATCAAGGTGTGGACAACTAAGAATAAACATTCTAAGGGAAGACAAAGTTCAAATGTCAGCCAGGTCCTCAGGCTGATCTACCAACAACCATCTTTTGAAAGATTTTTGTCTTCAGTTGTAGACACATTAGTTACAATAGAAAATTTGGAAAATAAAGAGTTGTTTAACAAAGAAAATGTAAACTCTTTGACATGCCTTAAGTCTACCAGTCAGAGCTGACAGTTATCCTAATTTATAACAATAGCAATACCAGCTTCACTCACTTCCGTGTGCTGGACGAAAGCTCTGAGCAGTCCCCCTCCTGTCCATTGTCACTTGTTTGTCATCTTTCTGGAGTCACTGGCTTTTTTGAGCTTTGCCAGCCTGCAGCTGTTCGGCCCACAGTGAGACTGAGGTGGACCCAGACCACATTCCAGCAAAGTGAGAGGGGAGGGAGGCCTCTCGTGGTGCCCCCACTGTCACCACTTTCCACGGTCCCCACTGCGCCCTGCACCCACCAGTCCCCTGCTTTCAACCCAGCCTTCTGTGATGAGTAGCTGGCCCTCCAGCCCTTAGTCTCCAGGGAAGCCACTTCTGCTGCCTAATTGCATGAGTGCTCAAAGCCCTGTCAGCTGGGGTGGGGGCACTGGGACTTCTGGTGTGCACGACCCAGGAGGCCAGGCGGGTCTGAGCACATCGGCATCCCACCTCCTTTGACCACACCACCTTCTCCAGCCAGCCCAGACTGCCGTATATTTCCTGTTCACCAGGCACTTGACTGTATCATCTCAGTTGTTCCATGACACCCTGTGAGGCAGGTGCCACTGTTGCTACCATTTTCAGATGAGGCTAAGAGGCTCAGAGAGGCAAGGAGCTTCCCTTCAGTCACACAGCACAGCCAGCACATACTGGGGATGTGACCCACCCTGGCCCTGGACTCCCAACCACTAGGCCGCACACCCCCTGCGCCCCAGAGCTATGAGCTTGCATTTTGGTCAGGTTGTGAGACAGACCTAGCTGAGAAGCGGCACTTCCCAAACATCACTTCCTCTGCTCTCGCCCCTGCAGCTGATGCCGCTGCTGAAGCTTCAGCACGCCCACGTCTCCACGTACCAGGAGCTGTTCGTGATGTGGAATAGCAAGGTGCGTCGGAGGCCCGCACCTAGGGCCCAGCTGGCACTCAGCGGCTGCAGGAACAAGTGGACTGAGCACAGGGCACCCCCACACCATAGGGCAACGGTAGTGACTAAACATGGCCAGTCCTGACTCGACACCCACTGGGGGTGCTCCAGGGACTCTCTGGGCATCATCTCTTATGAGCCCCCAACAGCTTCAGTGTAGGAGAAATAAATATTTCTTCCACTTTACAGAAGAATAAATAGAGGCTAGGAGAAACAAGATCCCCTGGTACCCACCTTGCATGTGGCCCAGCCAGGAGGTGGGGCCTGACTCCAGCACCCTGAGCATCCAGCTACCGAGCTCATGCCGCAGCCAAAGCTTCACTGTGTCTGTGCCTCTGAAGGTGGAGTTCTGACTCTCACGGGAGATGCTGGAGTTAGGAATCTGGTCTCTGCTGTCCCGCCTTACTTGGCATTAAACTGTCCCAAGACTCTGGACCCCTGACTTTTGCAGCTTTTGCACAGTGTACTAACTGTGTAACTGCACATCCGTCCTCAGATCTAGGAGGTTTGCAGTGTGGGAAGTTATGTCATCACTTCCTAGGGGGCACAGAGAGGTTACAGAGCTCTTCAAGGTCACACAGCTAGTAACAGCTGAGCAGGATTCAAATCTGGGTCTTGTAGCCCCAAACCCTGTGCTTTGGCATGTAGGTTATATGACTTCTTACCTCTACTAGGAGCCACAAAGCTTTTGAAGTACTCCAGACAGGACTGAGATAGAGGGGGACGTCAAGCTGTGAGGTGTCAGTTATCAGGTCTCCACATTACTGTCCCTAGCTGGGGCTGACAACCAGGGGTTCGAGCAGGAGTGGAGGGCTCCCCTCATCTGCATTCCCTCCCCTGTGGCTGGGTCCTGAGGAGAGCCTTAGGGAGAGATAGTCACTGTGTGCACCCCCAAGTATTTTCTGAGTAGCCACTCATGCTCTCAAGAAGACACAGAAAACCAAGAGGACGTTTTGCTGTAGGAGGGAGGGCAGGGTCCTCTGAGAGCCCCAAGTTGCACCCCCTGACTTGGTCTGCCGGTGTCTGTCCAGGGCAGGTCCCTCACAGGGCAGAAGTGGATCACTGCGGAGCCCTAAAGAATGAGTAGATATCCCCGGAAAGGCCAGGCTCCCAGCACAGAGAGAGAGAGAGAGAGAGAGAGAGAGAGAGAGAGAGAGAGAGAGAGTGTGTGAGAGAGAGAGAGAGTGTGTGTGTGTGTGTTAGCCTGGAGGCCTGTGCAGCTTCCGGAAAAGCCCAAGGGTTCAGTGTACATGGAGCTGGGGGTGGGGAGAGGAAGCACCTGCTCCACCACCCAACAATTGCCCCCTGGATATTTACCCAGGAAAATGAATTGTTGGGATGGGGGTGAGCAGGGGCTGCAGGCAGTGCTCCCACAGCCACTGGGTTCAGAGGCCCAGTGGAGGAGCGGTGACCCATGGAGCAGGTGACCATGCAGAAGCGCCAGGCCAGCCTGGGCAGGGTGGGGCGGGAGCGGGGGGCCAGGCCGCAGCACCTGGTGGTGGGCCTCTTGTCCTCCACAGAGTTCCTCTGTGTTCCTCTGCCTGGTGATGGAGTACTACAGGGGAAGCTTCCAGACGGTCATTGAGAAGAAGAGGGTGACTCGGGCAGTCATTGACCCCGAGGTAAGACAGACTCTAGGATGCCAGGCCTGGGGCCACTGGAGCCTTCTGATGTCAAGACTCCACAGGGCACATGCCCCTGGAGTTGACCTTATTTCCCTCTTGTCTGCGGGGGGTGTTTGCATACTGTACTGTCCAGACTCAAGTGTCCAGCTTGGCACCTTTCACACAGGCCGTGCTCCCCTCGCCCCCTGAACCAGGACGCAGAGCATGCCTGGAACTCCAGAAGTCCCCAGTCAGCATGTATGGCTCTACTTGTGCTCCAAGGTCCTGCCCGTCCCCGCAGTTCATACAGGGGAACTCATCCAGGCTGTCATCATTTGTGCCTTTCGGGATTCATGCACTCTGAGAATGTATCGGGAACCTGTCCCTGTGGTGAGCTGCTGCTCTGGTGTGTGGCTGCACATCTGTGCAGCCAGCCTAGCGTCGTGTGCGTTTGGTTGAGCTGGTTTGCAGCTGTCATGGATAAGGTTGCCATGAACATTGTTGGCATGTTTTTGCTGGACCCATTCATTTCCCCGGATAATTACACAGGCTGAAATTGTTGGGCCGTGGAGCAGGTACGTGCACAGCTGTAGCAGATGTCACGTTTAGTGGGCAGTTATCCACGGCAGTTCGGTTGACCCCGTGCTTAACTCTCACCACAGGTTGCGAGCGTTCCAGCTCTACCTCCTGGCCAACACTCCAGCGTCAGTCTTTTAAATTAAAAGCTACAGTTTAATTTTAGCCGTGATGCACAATCACCGTGGGCACTTGCGGCCACCTGAGTATCTTCTTTTGCCCGTTAAAACCCGGGATTGTCCGTGTCCCCTGACTGAGCTGGCGGAGTTCTCTGTACCTTGGTATGCAGGGATGCGGAGTGCCCTCTCCCGGTCTGTGGCTTGCCGCCTCACTTTCTTGAAGGTATCTTTTGAGGAACAGAAGTTCCGAATTCCATGCTTCCTTCGCAGTCGGTGCTTTCTGGGTCCTGAGAGGCTTTTCCTGCCCCAAGGTCGTGAAGACATTTCCTGTTGTCTCCCGAGCTAGGTCTTTTCGCATTCACCTTTTGGGCCTATGTTTCTTGCCAAAGGAGCCTGCCTGCTTTTTCCCCCGAGCGCTGTGCCAGGACGGCTTCTCGGGCCTCGAGGGCTTGCCGCTCCTCTCCCAGCACGGCCTCGGGGGTAGGCTCTGTGCCCGCATCAGACCTTGCTGGTGGTGAAAGCCTTTCCAGCACAAAGTCTTTTTGGAAATCCAGAAAGGGAAGCAAGGCTTCTCTGGTCAGGGAGCGGGGCTGCTGGAGGGCGGAGGAAGCCTGGGGTCCTGCCCCCTCAATCCCTCTCAGACACCCCTGGGCAGGATCCAAGGTTCCTAAGGATACGGCTAGAAAATCACTGTCCTGGAAACTAGATGGGCCTTGTTTCTGACACAAAATGCTTCCAGAACATTCTCTTAGGACTCTTTTCATTCTAATGACAGGGAGGCACACCAAAGTAGGCACTGAAGACCTATCTCTGTGCCTGCATAGCCCCCAGGACACAGAGGGTGGGGTGGGGGTCTGGAGCCCCAGGGCACCCAGGGTCTGTGATGTATGGGGCCAGGCTTGCAGGGTCTGGAGCCCGGGGCACTGCCTCGGCTGACGCGGTTTCTGCCTGGAGAGGCGCGCAAGCTCCAGCCTGAAGGAGCCTGGTGCCCAGCCCTCCTGCACTGGCTCTGAGCTTCCGGCTCCCTTCCGCCCCTCCCAAGACACAAGGAGAGATGATGCCACCAACCCACTGGCTGCTCCGCGTGGTCACTGATCTGCCTGAAAACAGCTACAGGGAGCCCCAGTCTGGGACCTTTCTGGTCCCCTCCCATCCTGGCATCTCTTGCTTCCCCCCAGTGGATGCAGAACATGCTGGGCCAGGTGCTGGATGCTCTGGACTATTTGCACCGATCAGACATCCTCCACAGGTGAGTGGGGCAGCCAGGCTGCTTCAGGGGAAAAGGCACCTAGTCCCCTCGGCAGGATGCAGGGAGGTGTGGCGGGTCAGCAGGGCCAGGATAAGGGAAGGCGTCTTTCCAGAGCACCTCCCAGGCTTAAAGGGAGTGTCACCCCCTCCACGTAGCCGCCGGTGATTCACCCTCACCGCGTGGAGCGTGAGCTGACTCGGCAGGTTGGTTCTAAAGTGCACGGGAAGAAACCAGATAGCAGCAGCCCTAGGAGAGGAGATTAAGCTGCCTGGCTGGCCTCTGGCCGGGCCAGCGCCCCCAGTCTGAGCTTTCGACACGTCAATGGTACAGCTTCATGTGCTCTGGAATCCATAGTCAGCAGGGGCTGGGAACGGCTTCAGAGCGGATCAGTACTGAATTTAAAAGAGAAGACACACGTGGACCACATGTGGGAAAAAATGCTCCCGAGTCAGTGTTGTCCCTGGACATCGTGAAATGGTCAAAAACCAATCCCTAAACAAGTGCAGCTAAGATCTGGGTGGAGATGTCAGCAGGGGTAGCAGAAGGGTTCGGTGCTTTCTGCTTGTAGCCAGCTCCCTTTTCCAATGTAGGATAACTGAGCTTACAGGAAACAGTATTTAAAAAGGGGGCTGCAAAGAGGGCTGATGAGCAGGCATAACAGGGTGGAGCAGGGTAAGGGTTACAGTACCCAGAGGGAGACCCTACCTCTTGGTTTCAGGAACCTCAAGCCCTCCAACATTGCCCTGGTCAGCAGCAGCCACTGCAAACTGCAGGACCTGAGCTCCAGCGCGCTCATGACCGATAGGGCCAAGGGGAACGTTCATGCAGAGGAAGGTGGCCGGGGCCTCCTGGGCGTGGGACAGCGGTGGCTGGGGAGCAGGGGCCGGGGTTCACCCGAGGGGTGCTCCTAGGATCCAGAGGGCAGTGGCTGGCCCCAGAACAAGGCAACATCAAACCTCTTCTTGCTCAGAAGGTCCCCACAGACCCCCTTGGGTTTATGTGGGCTCCAAAGAGACCCCGTGGCTGAGGTTGTAACCGAGCAGGAGTTATCACCACAGGGGTACCTACCGGGTCCAAGAGGCACCCAGAAAATGTCAGCCTTCATGGAGGGAGAAGAACGGCGTCAGAAGAAGGAAACTGACATGTAGCCAGAGGGCTGCTGGGTGCTGGGCCCTGGCTAGAGTTGGATGCTGTTAGTGAGTCTTAAAATACCGCAGGCCCTGGGGGAGGTAGGGAGCACGGGAGGACGGGTTTGCCTTCCTTTGAAAAGACACGGGCAGAGGGAGCTGGGCTTTGTGGCCTGTACCAGCTCTCAGGCTGGACAGAGCAGCCACAGGGCAGGACCGAGTACAGGGCTGGCAGGCTGCTGGCACCGTGCTTGGTGCACAGGGGGTGGGTGGGTATGCAGGCACATAGATGGGTGGCTGGCTGGATGGGCAGGTGGGTGAGCGGGGATCTACTGGAACTATACGTGGTAGGGGTCCTTGGGGGTCTACCCCTCTGCTGTTTGGCTGGGAGCGGAGGTCCGGAGAGGGAGGTGTTGTCTGAGGTCTGTCGGGCACTGACAGAGCTGAACTGAGGACCCTTCTCTTTTGGCTCCTGTCCTGGGGTTTCAGGTCTAGAAACTAACGTGGGGTTAACTGGAACTTTGCTTCAAGGTCCTGACATTAGAGAGGACAGAATGCTTAGAGAGAGGACAGATTTTAGCCTTCTTGGCACATGCGTCTTCCTACTACTTCGGCAGCCACGGGGTGCAGAAAGCTGCGCGTGCACACTGCCAGCCCGGAGGCACCTGCCGAGATAGGCAGCCGACTGGCTGAAGATCAAGGGCCAGATCTCGCTGACTAGGTCCTCTCCTCCTTGGCCTCCACAGATAGTGCTTCCCCACCGCCCTGAGATGGGTGATTGGAGAGGTCGTTTTTTAAGGGAGCATAGGACTCATGCACCCCACCTTCTCCTGCCAACAGACCCTTTACATAAGTCCTGGATGGCCCCTGAAGCCCTCACCTTCTCCTTCAGTCAGAAATCCGACATCTGGTCTTTGGGCTGCATCATCCTCGACATGGTCAGCTGCTCCTTCATGGACGTGAGTCACCTGCCCGTCCTTCCCTGCCACACCCCATGTCCCCAGGGAGCTGGGTCCCTTCCCCTGCCCCCAGGAGGGCACCCTCTTCCCACTTGCATCCTCCTACCCTTGCTCTGTGCCTCAGGGGCTGTGTGGAGCCCCCTGCCCCAGCAGCTAGAGGGGCCCATGCTTGGCACGTGCCCTGCTGGGCATGGTAAGGTGATAAGGATGGTCACACTCACACCTACCCAGGGGCATCATTGCCCACTATGGATAAGAAACCCTGAGTTGAGGCGCCCTAACCACCTGAGGTCTGTCTCTGTTTGAGCTGAGGATGCATTTAGCTGCAAGCAGTGTCAAACTGGACCAGACCAGGCTGTTTATCTCCCGTGGGCCCCAGGCTGTGTGCAGGGAACTTCTGTTCTTCCCCAGTGTGGGTGGGGCCTTGGCTCTCTGCCAGGCTAGAGGCCCCTGTGCCAGGGATACCACCAGTGGGCAGGAGGGAGAAGGGAAGAGCAAAGGGCCCTACTGGCCCCTCCGTGGCTCTCTGGTCCCCTGGCTGCAGGGTGGCTGGGAGACTGAGCCTTGTGGCTTCAGACCCTCTATGCACTGAAGAGAGCAGGGAGATGTGCAATGGCCGGGCCTTGGTGCCCACCAGCCCACACGCAAGCACCCGGGTCCCCAGGAAGCAGAGGGGGGCCCTCCCCTCCCCACTGTCTCCCGTGCCCCCCCCAGACTCTTACTGGCTGAGTCTGGGCCCACGGCCGTGACAGGAAGGTTCCTCTGCCTCCTCACAGTGGGTGGCCCCCTCACTTCTCTGCGAACCTCCATTTCTCATAGAACCCTGGGGCTCTGGTGGTCTCTGGGCATTCCGGAAGGCGCAGCCACGTCTCCTCCCCTCTGGTCCCTGCCAGCTCTCCCTGGTGCCCACATCGGTCCTCATTCATTTGAGGAAATCCACAAAGCACTACTGTCTCCTGTTAGGCAGCAGAAGCCATGAGTTTGCGCAGGTCCATCCGGAGTCTCCCAGACGGCCTGCAGGGCGTCCTGAAGACCATGGCGGAGAAGCAGCTCCCCGACACAGCGGCCTACAGCTCCCTTCTGCCTTGGATGCTGCGGATCAACCCCTCGGAGCGAGCCACCGTCAGGTGAGCTCAGGATCCAGAGTCTCTTCACCTCAATATGTGCGTGGCCACTTGGTGTCTGAACGCCCTCACACCCCCCTGACTCCCCTGAGGGCCGTCGGGCTTCTCTGGGGGTGGCTGTCCCAAACTGTGGCCACGAGTGACCTGAGCGTCCATCTTGGAGCACTGGAACCAACAGAGCCAACTTCTCCACCAGGTGTAGGAGGCACGGCCCCAAAGACCAGGAAAATGTTTTAATTCTAATTTATTTTAAATCAGAAAAAAAGGGAGACTATGTAATAATGCATCCAGCCTGGGTTATATTCACCTTTATACCAATGCAGTGGTAAAATCAGATTTTCTACGTATTTTTATGGAGGAAGGGGCCCATCCGCGTGCAAGTGCCTGGGCCCAGCCCGCCCTCCCTGGCCCTCCTGGAGGTGGAGTGGCTGGGATGCCAGCCAGACCTGTTTGCGAGGCTGTGAGAGGTGCTCCCAGATGGATTCTGAAACTGGAAGGTGGAGCCTAGCACCTGCCAGCTAAGGGCCCCCCTGAGCCGCTTCCCCCTTGTCGGGCAGCCCCTCGGGCGAGTCCCTCTGGCTCTGCTTCTGTCCAGGGATGTGATGCACATCGCCTTTGTGAGCAGCAACTTCGGGTCCTCGAGCATGGCTGTGCCGCTGTGCGGGCAGGTGGTGCCAGCGTCCGTCACCGACCTGCTGTTGGAAAGCAACATCGCCAGCATCATAGGTGATGAGGGCACCCCGTTGTCATAGTTCCAGAGGGTCGGTGCCTCCCCCACACCCAGTCCCCTGGATTGCTCCTAATGGGTGGCCAGTGGGTAGGGAGGTGCTAGACGCTGGGATGGGCACAGCAAGCACCCTGGACTGGCAGGTGTGTCCCTGCAGGGAGATGAAGTGGCTCTGTGTGCAGTTTGACATGTGCAGGCCTCAGTTGAAGGTGTCGCTGGTTATGTGGCATGGAGCTTACTTGCCAAACAGCACTGCTAGTGTGGCAATAATCTCTACCACATGTGCCAGACTGGGAGTTCCTTGGTGCCCCAGCCCAGTGACTAGCACACCATAGCTACGCCCAAAGGTCTTGGGTAAAGGGTGGGTCGTAGGATGAAGGGTCTACAAAGGGCACAGCCTGAGCCTTCAGCTCATTTTGGGGACTGGGGTTGTTTGTTATGAACCAGAGGTAAAGAAACCTGGCAGGAGGGGAGGCCCACAGGGGCCAGGAAAGAGTCCTGGGCTTGGGGCAGAGCTCTGACCACATGGAGCCATGTGTGAGTAGCAGTGTGGCCGAGGTGGGCTCTGAGATAGAAGTCCGTTCACGTTGGACACACCACTGGGTCTGTAAAGTGGGGGTAAGAGTATAACCTTGTGCCTAATCTCAGATCTATGAGGTGGTGCACATCAGGCAGCCAGGTGGGCGTGGGGCCCAAGTGCGTCCCAGGTGCCCTCCCTGCAGAAGGGTGGCTGAGCAGGCCACGTGGACAGGCAGACTCCTCCCCAGGCTCTCCTGTTTCCTGCAGAGGTCATGCAGAACTTCGCCAGCCAACCCGAAGTCCAGCTCAGGGCCATGAAGAGGCTCCTGCGAATGCCTGAGCAGCAGCTAGGTAGGGAGCCCGTTCGTCCCTTCCCCGCCCAAGAGATGCCCCACAGCGCGGGCCTCTGGGGAGCCTTGCCTTTGCCCCATGCCCCTCCGCAGTGCCCACACTCAGGGGCCAGTGTATGGCTCCGTGGTGCCACCATCTGCCTGGAATTCCTCCCATGTCGCCACTTTCGTGGAGTGGACGGCAGGGTGGGGTGTGAGGGAGCCGGACTGGGTTTGGTGACCTCCCTTCCCGTGTTTTTCACATTTGCTTAGTCAGACATCCATCTCGTCCACCATCCCTACTGGTGGGTATCTGAGCTGTTGCCACATGCTTTTCTGGTATCATGAACAGCACTGTACTGAACACCCCCAAGCATGTGTGTGCATGTGCTTGGGTGTGAATACTTCCCATTCTCAGAGATACTTCGAACCACCCCCCACAGACACACCACCATCCCCACCTACCAAGAGCGGCTGAGCACACCTCTTCCCCAACTCTCTCGGGTAATGATCTAATTTGGCAAAACACGGTATCATAAAATCTCTCCACTCAGCCCGTCTCATCATTCTGAATACTACACTCAATCATCTATCACGTGTCCTTCCACAAAAGGTCTGTCCCAGTGGCTGGGGCCCCAGGGATCTAATGAGGCAGCAGAACCCGACTCCGGCCACTCGCCTTTCGCTCCCTCTCCTCCCTCCCCTTGGTCCCTTCCGTGCTAGCCTGTGGCCAGGATGGAGTCCACGGGGACTGCAGGGCCCCTTCCCCGAGGTGGCCTTGCCTGCCACCCCAGAGCCCCCGCCCCACCAGCCCCGTGTGATCGGCTAGCTGGGGCCGGCTTCCATGCCAGCGCTTCTGTCCTTGTCATTCTCACAGAGTCCCTGAGATGGAGGGACTGTCACCTGCCTCTTCCAACGAGGAAACAGGTGGGGAGGGGCAAGGCAGCTTGGGGAAAGGCCACAGCTAGGGGGGCACCCTCGGCTGCTCACCACCGCCTCCCACCTCGGGACCTGTGCGCTGTGCTCTGTAGGCTGCCAGCAGTGCCTGCCTCCCGGGTCAGGCCCACGCTCCCTCCCACCCTGCTCCTGTGCCAGGCCTCACCTGGCCACCCTGCCCTGCCAGGTCTGCCATGGCCGATGGAGCTCGTAGAGGTGTTGATGGCTACCATGGAGCAGCACGAGGGGATCCTTGACGTCCAGCTGTGCGGCTGCTCCCTGCTGCTGCGTATTCTGGGCCTAGGTGAGCGTGAGCCCAGCATGTGATACGTGCTTATTCCGGCACATGGTCTCAGGCCCAGCAGGGCCTCAGAAACCAGCGCTGGCTGCAGTGCCACTCACTCACAGCTCTGAGGGGCAGGCAGGTCCCCATCCGTCCTTCACTCCGTCATACAAGCACTCATGGGGATGTGCTCTCTGCCAGGAGAACAAGGCTGACCTCAGCTTCCTCCACACAAAGTGGGGGTACTACCCCTAAACAGGGAGGGAGTGTGCCTGCATGCTGCCCACCCGCCCTGTGGTCCCTGGCTTTGGGGATTAACCCCAAGCTCCTTCCATTGGCCTGAGCAGCACTGGTACAGGACCCGGAAGCCGAGGCGCCGAGGGACCCCTCCGTCCTGCTGAGGATCCTGCGGAGCCACCCTGGGTCGGAGCAGCTCCTGGTCCTGGCCTACAGCTTGCTCACCATCATCTCCAGCCAGGGTGGGTGCTGGGCGGAGCCCGACTGTCCCCGAGATAGCACGGCTGCACCACCTTTGTTTGGTCTGCTCCCCAGCCCATCCTTTTTCTCTTGATGGAAAGCTTCCATTTATAGCCTGGTTTATAATCCCTCCACAGAGGTGCACGGGCTGACCACGTGCCAGGTACCACCACAGACTTCACACTGACCCCTTCCGCCCTGCCCATCTCCATTTTATTGAGCACCTGGGCTTCTGAGGCTGCCAGGCAGGCACGCAGTGGGTGGCCAGATGCAACAATGTTGAGAGGGTCACTGCCAAGGGCCTTATACACCTTTACCTCCTCCCACCATGCCATCAGGCCAGCATTGTGCCCTCGAGTGAGAAGCCGGGGACCCAAAGCCCAAGGACACTCTCCTAGAGTCCCGTGGCTGGCCAGGGGTAGGGCCGGGGGTTGGCACCCTGCCCTTCGCTATCCTGACAGTTTACTACACATCACTGGCCCCACTGTGGGGAGTGAAAGGGGTGCTATGAATAGGCGTGTTGGCACAACAGGTGTAAATCAGAACCAGCAGGCAAACTGGATTAGCAGGTCATCCCACTGAGAACACAATCTTGCTCCCGTTTCAGAAGGCTCAGGCCTGCTCTGCGGCCCCAGGAGACAGGACCAGGCCCCTTAGAAGGAAAGGGCCAGAGGTCCCGGCCCGGAAAGGATATGGGAGATACTGGGGCTGGCAGTCCAGGGATGGACCACATCCTGTTCAATCTGGATCCCATGGTGGGCACGGGAGTGGCCAAGTAGGTTTCCAGTAACTCAGGACACACGGCACTACAGTGCCTGAGGACAAGAGGAAGGAGGCAACGCTCAGGGAAGGCTTCCTGGAGGAGGGGTTCTCTGGGGCACTACTTTTGGGGCCTGCCCACAGGATCGGTCTCAGAGGAGCTGCAGAAGGCTGAGCTGTTCGAGCACATCCTGGAGCGCTCGGACGCCTTCTCCAGGAACAGAGACGTCTGCATCAGTGGCCTGGGCCTGCTCTGGGCCCTCCTGGTGGATGGTGAGAGGGGCCCTGCTCCCGTTCTCTGGTTTGGGGCTGGCATCCTCTGCAGTGCCCTGACCACCAAGAGCCTTCAAGGGCCTCCAGTTTCTGACCCCTAAGCACTCGGGCCAAACCACGGCCCATGAGGGCTCCTCTGAGAGCCTGGAGGTGAAGGAAAGAAGCAGGGGTGCTGGGGAAACAGGCCTTCCTGTCCTGGTGAGCAGGCCTCCTGCCCAGAGAGACCCTCCAGCTCGCACACATCCTGGGATTTCCCGGCAGCCCCGGTACCAGAACATGGGCATTCTACCCTCATTTCTGAGTGGGGCAGTGCTTCTTGCCCTTCTCCAGGCCCCATCTTGGCTCCCCAAAGTCTTGAGTGGTAGTTCTGCCCAAGGAGAAGAGGACTTCTAGCCATGGATAGCCCTGTCCACACCCAAGCCGTGAAATCCCCCAAGCCTCCCCTTCGGGGTACAGATAAATTCCTACCCTCCTAAAGCTGACTGGGCAGGTTGGAAAGCACCACCCTGCCCCATCTTTGAGGACGTCTGACCTCTCCCCCCACAGCTGCTGCTCTGTTGTCCTTGGGGTGGGGAGAGGGGGCTGGAGGGGCCACATACACAGCAGGCTCTCCTAAGGGCTAGACATCCCTCCTCTGTCCTGTCCTGGTTCCAGACAACATTGTGAACAAGGCTGCTCTGGAGAAAGCCCCGGTCCTTGTTACCAAGGTGCTGGCCACCTACCCCACGGATGTGGAGGTGGCTGAAGCTGGCTGCGCGGTCCTCTGGCTGCTGTCCCTGCTAGGTGAGCAGGCTGGAGCTCTGGGGACTGGGAGCGGTGGCCCCTGGACCTGTGAGGCTGCGAGGCCTGAACCGGCACCTCTGCAGGCTGCCTAAAGGAGCAGCAGTTTGAAGGGGTGGTCGCCCTGTTCCTGAAAAGCATCCGCCTGAGCCAGGACAGAGTCCTGCTGGTGAAGAATGCCTACCGGGGCCTAGCCAGCCTCGCGAAGGTGTCCGGTGAGCACGGGGACTGACTGGGCTGCCGCTGGGAGGCGGGGGCAAACTCGGCAAGCACTGTCTTCCAGTGGCCCACAAACCAAAGACAGAAGCCAAGTCAGAACAGGAGAACTATAGTCCCACATCCAGAAGTTGCCCAGGGGCCTCACACACTTGATACAGTTTTTGCTGAAGACTGTTGTGACCATCTTTCCCTGTCCACACACACGTTTTAGGTCCACACAGATTTTCGTACAGGTATAGCTTATTGAAGCAGCCCCGGAGACTGGTCTATTTCCAAATTCCCACCTCTGCAACACAGACGCTGGCTGTCACCCAGCAGGCCGCACCAGGCCGTGCCTGAGTCAGGACACAGTGACCCTTACAGACACTTGGGGATGGGGACCGGCCAGAGTCCCCAGAGGGTGTGTGAGGAGTGGCTTGGCCCCTGTGAAGTCCACCTCAACTCAGCACTCCAGGGCAGCTGTGCCGGCTGGGCTGGGCTGGGGGCCACAAATCTGGATGGGAACGCAAAGCTGGGCAGGCCTCTGTCTGCTACTCGGCCTCATGGGAGTGGTGCCACCTTCACTCCGAGGAGGCCCAAAGAGCAGGGCAGGGTAGGGTCTTTCTTCTCAGGTGGACACCCCAGGCTCCAGGGCTGCCTCCTGAGGTCCCACCCGCAACAGGTCTGTGCCCAACGTCAGCTACCAACCCTCATGGATGGGGGCGACTGAGGCCCTGAGGGCAAAGGGGGTATGGCTGAGCTCCTGAGGAGCCAGGCCATCCGATCAGGACCCCAGAGCCAAAGTCTGGGTGAGAATCGGCTTTGCTGCCTCCAGCAGGCACGTGTGAGACAAGTAATGTCTGCCTGCAGCACATGTCACCGCACACAGGCCTAACCCATGACCCAGGCGCCCTGGGTCTCCCCACAGGCCCTCTGGAGCAGGTCCCCGTTGCTTCTGTCATGCCCACAGGTTGGGCCGCCCCTCCAGCAGACGCCTTTTGTTGGGAGAGGGAGGCAGGACGTATACTCCCACCAGGAAATGAAGCCAGCAGATAGATGCCTTTGCAAACTAGCTGGTCAGGAGTGGGGAACCCGACCTGAGGCGGCTGTGGGCACCGCGGCTGTCCCAGCAGCAGCTGAGGCCCTTGCTGTCTGCTGTCCCAAGCACTCTGGACCCACAACCCTAAGAACTTGGTACCGTCACCCATTTCCCAGAGGACACCAAGAGGGCAGCCCCAGGTAGGGAACCCACATCTGCCTGTCCCCCCTCAGAGCTGGCAGCGCTGCAGGTGGTGGCGCCGGCGGAGGGCAGCAGCGGCCTCACCCTCCTCCAGGAGACATACCAGCTCTACAAGGACGACCCGGAGGTGGTGGAGAATGTGTGCATGCTGCTGGCCCACCTCGCTTCCTACAGTGAGAACCCCCTCATCACCCCGCCCTAGAGCCAGCTCTAACTGCTGGGGAGAATGGTGCCCTGTTCACGTGACAGGTGCCTGGCATGTGCCAGGCCTGGCTGGGATAGGGACCCACCTTGTCCTGCCGGGCTCCTCAGGGATGCTCTGGCTGGGCCGCTATAGCGGCATCAGGCTGGCTGAGTGTGGGCTCCCAGAGGCACACAGGACCCTGGCCCCAGGACCCTGTGCTCTGCCCCCAGGTGAGATCCTGCCCGAGCTGGTGTCGAGCGGCATCCAGCCACTGGCCCAGGAGATCAAGGGGCGCTTCACCTCCAGCCTTGTACGTACGCACAGAGCTTCCACAGACAAGGCCTCCCATCCCCTCTAAGCCAGACCTGGGTGGTACTGAGTCAGGGGCCCAGACCAAGAGGTTCCTACAGAGCGGAACTGGGTTGCTGTTATTTTTAATGACTCTTTCTGTGACTCCATGTCTGCAACCAGCCATAAAACACCCCAGATTAGGAGTGGGGGTGTGTGGGAGGGGGGATGCAACAGACCTCTTCAAAGAAATGCTGATGAGTCATGAAATCCCCCTCCTGGGCCCTAGTGCTGCCCTGGAGGGCAGTGACCCACATGTCACCCTTCCAGGGGGTGGTCTCTTATGCAGAGAAGGTGCTCCTGAGGCTGGATGCGGCCACTCCACCCAGCTCTGCCGCAGGGCAGTCGGCTCCACCCTGAGGCTGGCAGCTGCCCACCCGCTCCTGCCTGCCCGCCTTCTTTCCCCCGACCCCTCTCCCGGTCCCTTTTTTCTTGGACTTCACTGGAACTGCCCAGGGAAGGGGCATTTTTCCCAGGGTCAGGGTATGTGCACGTGCATCTCACAATCTACATGACCAAAAGGGCATGCGAGCTGTCCCTCGCAGGCGCACGACTGACCGGCAGTGCTGGACTCTGCAGTCTTTGTACAAACTGCAGCCCTGGCCTGAACAGGTGCAGCCGTCAGCCAGGGGGCCTGACCGTTCTGAATGAGGGGAGGACAGTGAAGGTCACAAGCTCCATCTCAAGTAAAAACCTGTTTATATTATGTTACATCCGCAGTGGGTTTGAGCCTTTTTTGTACAGCGCTGGGCTTCCGCATGCCACTCTGTGCCTGGTTCTCAGCAAGAGCCTCACCCTGGGCCAGGCGGAGAGAGCTCAGGCCACCCAGGGGACCAATGTGGCTTTTTCATCAAAAGCATCGCAGAACAGCACGTCTGTCCTAGGCCGGGAGGGGCACCCACCTCCAGGAATAACTTGTCCCAGAGCTTCATGTAACATGGTGGGCTCTGACCTTGGGTCTGAGCTGGGTGGGCTAGGGATGGGGGAAGGAACACCTGCCCTTGGAAGGTCCCTCCAAGTCCAAAGGCAGCCACAGAAAACCCCTCCACAAAGCTGTGGCTGAGCCACCTACAGAAAACTGCCTAGGGCTGCAGGGAGAGGCGATGCAGAGAGAGGCCTCCTCAGTGGAGGCGCCGAGACCTATCGGGGTTGGTGACTGCAGTGGCCCCTATGGCCCTGATTGCCTGTTCTGACACCCAGGTCTGGCCAAGCCTACAGTCGCCAGGCACCCCCACCAGTCCCCACTGCCCAGCCCTGACCGCAGCTACACCTGCCAGTGCTGACCCCCTCAACAGGGGGGAACGACGTCTTAGATCATAAAATCAGAGGGAAGTTGTTCTTCCCAGCAGCATGCACGGCCCCACTGCCTGATGGTGGGGCATCTCCCAGAGGCTCGAGCCTCCGGAGGAGACCCGAGCTGTCCTGTGATTCGTTCACAACTGCCTGTGGACAGAGACACTGCCGTTGTTTGAAGCAGGCGCCGTGAGCTCTGACACCGCTGCTGGTTGAAGTCTGGTGCGCCGACCCTGAGCCATGCTCTCCCACTGTTTCTTCGCCATGATGTACAGTCTCATTGCTGCCTGGGCATCCTGGATCTAGGTGACACAGACCACCACCGTGACTGCCCAGCAGGTGACAAGCATGCCGACATGCCAGCCAGTCCCACAGTTACTGAGCTCTAGTGCCAGACCCTGGGCGGGAGAAAACCCAGCAAAGCCGCAGTCCAGCTGTGCGGTCCTCACTGCCCTCTGGTGACCTCGGCCCCCTTACAGGAGGAGAGGGACCCAAGGAAGGGCAGGGACAAGGGTACTGCCTTGTGAGGCACACCCCGACAGCAGAGGGACGGCGGGCCCTGAGCCGGAGCCGGAGCCCCAGACACAAGCAAAAAGAGCCCCGAGGCTGAAGGCCCAGTGCACGTCTGGCCTGGACCGCAGGGTGCTGAAGAGCCTTCAAGGGGCTTTTCCTCCAATTACAATCTAACAGTTTTCTTGTATTAAGTATTGATCAGTTAAATATAAACATTTAGAACCTAACACTCTCTAGGCCTGCAGTGCCACTGCCGTTTTATGGGCCAGCAGCCTCCTTAAAAAGAAAAAAAAGTCACCCAGGCCCCACGGTGTCTGCCACCAGGTGATGTAGCACCTGGCTGTGCGGTCTGGGACATCCCCAACCCCGAGCACAGCCCCCCAGTCACACTCACCGAACAGTGCTCTGCCTGCTGCACCCGGATCCCCAGGATTTGCTCTGCAAGCAGCTTGAGGGACGGCCGCCCACTCTGCCAGGAGAGGGGACAGCACACAGCCACGCTGCGGTGGAGGCCTCTGTAGGCTCTGCCCCAGCCAGGGCCTCCTACTGAGCCCCCACCCCAATGACCTTCATGTGCCTGTTGCTGGAAGTGCCCACAGCACTCAGGACTGGTGACACCCCTTCTCAGCCCATGGGGAGGGGCAGGCAGGGGCAGGCTGCATCTTGGCCTCCGGGCCACAGCAGCTTCTTACCCGCATGTGGGGGGCTCCCAGAGACCAGGGCATGGAAACGGCAGCCTGCCCTCAGTCTCAGTAACTCTCAGTAACTCAAGAACTCTACCTTTTCTTACACAATTCTTTTTAATTTTAAAGATTGAAACACCAAAACCAAAACACCTCTACGCAGTAAGTCAGTGACCAGGGACCAGAACCAGCGATCATGGGAACCAGCACACAGAGCTAGGGCGTTCAGAACCACACGGTTAAGTACCTTCACTTGACTCTTGAAAGGCTTGTATTTCTGTGTGTCCCGAATCTTCTTTTTTGGGTGATCAAGAAATAGTACCTAGAAGAAGAAAACAGCGATAGTCACTTTGATTTTTTGTTTGCAGCAATGGAAGGCTTCTTCAAATAATCTCTTACAAGGAATTTAATCTGTAATACACACACGCAAATAAAAGGTCTGATATGAATCTGAAATTCTGCAAGAAAACTATCAGCGACTAAACGTGAGGCTCAATAATAAGAACCATGCTAATAAAAACACCATCTTGAGACTGAGGAGGTCGGAGCCTAAAACTCACCAGCTAACCTGCAGCCAGTGTTCTGAGTTAGCGTCGCACGTGCAGAGACCAGCACAGTTTACGAACGGTGACACATTTTAATGGCTTATCCCATGATCTCAGGAGAGATTAAACACGAGCCTGCCCAAGTGCCGGGGACAGAGCCCGCGTCAGGAGGGAGCGTAAGCCTCACAGTGGACTGAGGTGAGATTGTGACACAATGCATTTCAGCGGGCAGAGGACTTGTTAGTTTTAGCAGTTCAAATTCTATCTTAAAAGGTAATGAGGTGGCCCATATTTAGTGGTCCCTGAAACATCTGAGGACTCCAGGGTTCCGTGGAACAGTCTGAAAAGCCCCATGGCACAAGGACAGGTCAGCCTCCCTTCTTCCGCCCACGGCCCTCAGCAGCACAGGCGTACAGCACAGACCGTCCAGGAGCAGAGACTGGAAGCCACAGCCTCTGGGGCACCAGAGGCGGATGCGTGGAGCCTGCCTGCCCACACGCCCGCCGTGCTGGCCATCGTGGGCCAGCAGGAGGGAGACGAGAGGAGCCCGGGGCTGCATGGTGCCTGCACATGAAGGCTGCTGGGAGCGCTTCCCAACAGCCGGTGGCATGGACCTCGGAGGAGCACGCATCCCTGCCTTGCCGGCTCAGAGCTGCAGAGGCGGCAGCCTGCCCGTGCTCCCTGCAGAACGTGTCTGAGCAGTGAGCGTGGGACATGGCGTCAGGTCCGGGTTCACAGCCAGCTTTGCCACGTGGACACTGGGTGTGTCACAGCTCACGAAGCCTCGTTTATATACTGAGCGTGAACAGCACAGTCTCCTTTTAAAAGAATTTAATGAGATTGGTTTTATAAAATGCCTGGCACTGCCCCTAGGGCACAGCAAGGACTCGGTAAGCAGCGACTGGTATTGTTACTAGGGTGCTCACAACAGAGGGCACAGATCAAACACAACTCCCACCAGAGCGTGTGTGCAGCCGGCACAAGGGTGTGTATAAGCAGTACCTTTAAATCATTATGTAGTGCGTGTCCAACTAGAATTCGGCCCTTCAGTATGTTTGCCACTTCCTTTTGAACAACTTCAAAGTCTTCTCCTGAAAACCGAACAGAGAACTGCTTTTCAGCCTGTAAGTTCAGATTAGTCTTAGAGACGCGGCCCCTCCCTCAGGCTGGGAGGGAGGTGGACGCACGAAGTGGGGTCAGCTCTGCTGGCTGCAGTGCCAAGGCTGCAGGCATGGGGGGTGGGGGAGGGCTCCACCCACTGCTCCTCCATCCTGCAGGAGGAGAGGGGCACCATGCAGAGGGCATTCGCAAGCACTTACCCCATTTGGCAGAGTAACCCTGACTGCAGAACCTAGTAAGAATCAGGCTTGTGTTTTATGACTTCCAACTAGATACATAAACTAAGAGTGGTCCTTCCCACCGTGAGAAATGCGGGTCTGGACCTTGGGCTCCAGATGCAGCTCTGCCTGCTTCCTCAGTGGACGTCCCCAGGCCCAGCACCCCCAAAAGGATGCGCTGCAGCAGCTGTGCCTACACCAGGGTGCTCAACCCACAGCCCACAGAGTGGATCAGACCAAGGGTGCTGACCCAAGCTGCCATGCCAGAGCCTAGAACCAGGAGACTGCTTGGGCTGGGGTCCCAGGCGAGTGCAGAGATGCTAAGATGCAGACAGAGCGTGTGGGCCAGAGAGAGCACAGAGGCCTCAGTCCTTCACGCTTCCATGATCTCTCCAGGTCCCTAACCGTGCAGTGACCAGGATGCCTTTCTGCTCTTCCTCCCACATAGCCAGTCCATCAGCAAACCCTATAGCTGCAGTCTCTGGGGTCTATCTGGAGGTGGGCCAACTTGTCACCTCATAGCCACATCCTTGACCAGGTCACCACCAGTACACAACTCATCTACCTACAACCTCATGGTGGCCCTGGCATCTTTCTGGACCATGCCAGGGAGAATAGAAGTCCTCACAAAGTGCCGATCTGTGCCCCCTCCCCAGACACATCCAGCCTCCTTACTGACATACTCACTCCACTAAGTGGTACGGAGCAAGTCGGGAACGCCGACCTGTCACAGGTCGGCTGGCTGAGAGGCACAGAGGCGAAGACACGGTGGGCATGGCGGCCAGCTGGAACCAGCCACCAGGGGGATGCAAGACTGCCAGGACTCGTGGCAGCCAAGCTCCCCGACAGGAAGGGGACCAGGGAGCAGAGACCCGGCCTGCTTGGCCTTCACACCCACTAGCTGTGAGCGACCCACCCTTCTTGAGCAGCTCTGGCCGCACCCCGCTGACCGCTGTCCTGTAGTCTGTCACGGGCTGGCTGGGCTTGACGAACTTGTCATAAACACACTTCCCATACTGGTTCACGATGGACACGCGGGCAGCGACGCTCTCTTCCCCCTTGGGGCCCACGCCCACCATCTCACAATCCATGGCTAAGGCTTTGGTCAGGCTGCAGGGGAGCCAAAGGTGCCAGTGTAAGGGGTGCTGCGGGCCCAGCCAGCAGCACCTAAGGCTCCCACCCACCACGCTGCTCCCCATAGGACAACCTCTGTGCATCCTGGCACCCAGCAGGGCACCCAGTTCACCTGGGGGGAAGCAGCTTCTTCCTGAACAGCGCCCCCTGCAAGGCTGAGTGCAGCCAGCAGCCCAGCCCAGCGTACCCGCCGAACGCCTGCTCCTTCACCAGCGTGACGCTGCTCTTGCTCTGACCCAGGCGTTTTCTTGCTATATTGGCTGCTTCTGGGCCTAGGGTCACTTCGATATCCTCCGGGTCAACATCATCAAACCAGATGTCTTCTCTAAAAGGCAGTGAGAAGAGGCCAAGCACTCTGGTTAGCGGAGGCTGCTCACACTTAGTGGAGCGGCTGGGCCCCAGACACCCACTGGACGGGCTGCTGCTGCTATTTTGATAATTTTGATGCTTAACTATATTCCTTTCCTTTTTAATTAAAATACATGCTCACTATACAAAATTTAGGAACTACAGATAAACACGGAAACCATAAAACAGAAACATATAGACTACATATGACAACTGCTAACATTTTCTTTTTAATTACAAAGTACATTCATTACTGAACATTTAGGAAATGCAGATAAACACAGTAATTAAAAAATGCAAACACTGACGTGCCCACCCAGCTGCTAGCTTCACGTCAAACCCTCTGGGCTCCAAACCCAGATGTGTATCTCTGCTTGGCGGATTCCGCCTTTCCGGCTTAGCTAGACGTCACCTCCTCCTGACCCTACTAAACGGACACGCTCCTCTGGCCGGCTGTGCCCCCCAGCTCCTCCCTTGTTGGATTTACCCTGACAACACTTCCAGAATTTACTGAAATAATTTCAGTTTATTGTGTCCCCTACTTGACTATAACCTCAAGAGGGAGGGGCTGTGGTGATCGCTCTGTCTTTGGAGGGCACACCTGGCACCATGACACAGGCAGGCACTCGAGGTGTTCCTTCCTGCCACTGCAACTGTGTCCGCGAGTGGGTGACTTGCAGCCAGCCTGACTTACACATGCCACCTCCGGCTGGGCTACTCGGAGGCAGCCCTGGCTCCTGGCCCTCCCCACGGGAGCAGCCACCACTGGGCTTGGTGAGTAACTACCAGGGGCTGAGCCAGCATGTTGCACCTCACGGATCCCCCCACCCCGGACACCACAGATGACCACCCTGAGGCTCAGGGGATGCCAGAAACTTGCCCCAAACCATCCCACTGTCAAGACGCAGGAACTGGTGTCAAACTGCCTTTCTGGCTTCAGCATGCATCCGTTCCACAGATCTTTACTCGGGACCCCCCGAGTGCCACGTTCTGTTCTAGGCCAAGGAGACACAGCAGCTGTGGTGTAGGCCTGCCTCCATCAGGCCTACTTTCCCGGGGAACCAAACAACAGAGCAAGAATCACAACACAAGGCTAGGTGACGAGGCACTGCAGGAGGGGCCGCCGCCTCAGCTCCTTCAGGAGACAGGCCTTCGTTTGTGACTCTGTTCTCAGGGATGCGATGGCCAAGGCGGCTGTGGCATGGGCCAGCAGACACCCAGTCAGCGGGTGCAGTGCAGCTTGGGCAGAGCCCGTTGGCACTTACTCAGTGGGCAGGGCTGGTGCCAGGGCTGTGGCTGCCTCCTCAGCTTTCCGCTTCTTGTGCTTGAGGGCCCCTCGCCGGGGAGCCACGTCACCGTGCATCCTTTCCTTGGTTCCTGGGCTGCTGTGCTCTGCCCTGATGGCCTTTGTGGGAGGCGCTGGCCCCTTCCTGTCCACCAGAGATACTGAGGGAGCAGGGCCTCTTGGGGCCTTGCGGTCTGCTTTCCCAGTCCTGACCTCCTCTCTCTGGGGTCTACCTGGTGTCACTTTTCCGTTTTGTTGGGTAACATTGGGCTGCTTTTTGGAATCCATCTGAGAGAGAACAACATGCTTTTCCAGGGCCTGTGATTTTTGTTTCAGCAGCTAATGGAAACCAAAATAAAGTACATGACACATTTTAAGTTGGAAATCAGGCATGAGACTGAAAAAACTTATAGGTGTGTGTGTGCGCGCACACACACACACACACACACATCGCACACAGGCCTAACCCATGACCCAGGCGCCCTGGGTCTCCCCACAGGCCCTCTGGAGCAGGTCCCCGTTGCTTCTGTCATGCCCACAGGTTGGGCCGCCCCTCCAGCAGACGCCTTTTGTTGGGAGAGGGAGGCAGGACGTATACTCCCACCAGGAAATGAAGCCAGCAGATAGATGCCTTTGCAAACTAGCTGGTCAGGAGTGGGGAACCCGACCTGAGGCGGCTGTGGGCACCGCGGCTGTCCCAGCAGCAGCTGAGGCCCTTGCTGTCTGCTGTCCCAAGCACTCTGGACCCACAACCCTAAGAACTTGGTACCGTCACCCATTTCCCAGAGGACACCAAGAGGGCAGCCCCAGGTAGGGAACCCACATCTGCCTGTCCCCCCTCAGAGCTGGCAGCGCTGCAGGTGGTGGCGCCGGCGGAGGGCAGCAGCGGCCTCACCCTCCTCCAGGAGACATACCAGCTCTACAAGGACGACCCGGAGGTGGTGGAGAATGTGTGCATGCTGCTGGCCCACCTCGCTTCCTACAGTGAGAACCCCCTCATCACCCCGCCCTAGAGCCAGCTCTAACTGCTGGGGAGAATGGTGCCCTGTTCACGTGACAGGTGCCTGGCATGTGCCAGGCCTGGCTGGGATAGGGACCCACCTTGTCCTGCCGGGCTCCTCAGGGATGCTCTGGCTGGGCCGCTATAGCGGCATCAGGCTGGCTGAGTGTGGGCTCCCAGAGGCACACAGGACCCTGGCCCCAGGACCCTGTGCTCTGCCCCCAGGTGAGATCCTGCCCGAGCTGGTGTCGAGCGGCATCCAGCCACTGGCCCAGGAGATCAAGGGGCGCTTCACCTCCAGCCTTGTACGTACGCACAGAGCTTCCACAGACAAGGCCTCCCATCCCCTCTAAGCCAGACCTGGGTGGTACTGAGTCAGGGGCCCAGACCAAGAGGTTCCTACAGAGCGGAACTGGGTTGCTGTTATTTTTAATGACTCTTTCTGTGACTCCATGTCTGCAACCAGCCATAAAACACCCCAGATTAGGAGTGGGGGTGTGTGGGAGGGGGGATGCAACAGACCTCTTCAAAGAAATGCTGATGAGTCATGAAATCCCCCTCCTGGGCCCTAGTGCTGCCCTGGAGGGCAGTGACCCACATGTCACCCTTCCAGGGGGTGGTCTCTTATGCAGAGAAGGTGCTCCTGAGGCTGGATGCGGCCACTCCACCCAGCTCTGCCGCAGGGCAGTCGGCTCCACCCTGAGGCTGGCAGCTGCCCACCCGCTCCTGCCTGCCCGCCTTCTTTCCCCCGACCCCTCTCCCGGTCCCTTTTTTCTTGGACTTCACTGGAACTGCCCAGGGAAGGGGCATTTTTCCCAGGGTCAGGGTATGTGCACGTGCATCTCACAATCTACATGACCAAAAGGGCATGCGAGCTGTCCCTCGCAGGCGCACGACTGACCGGCAGTGCTGGACTCTGCAGTCTTTGTACAAACTGCAGCCCTGGCCTGAACAGGTGCAGCCGTCAGCCAGGGGGCCTGACCGTTCTGAATGAGGGGAGGACAGTGAAGGTCACAAGCTCCATCTCAAGTAAAAACCTGTTTATATTATGTTACATCCGCAGTGGGTTTGAGCCTTTTTTGTACAGCGCTGGGCTTCCGCATGCCACTCTGTGCCTGGTTCTCAGCAAGAGCCTCACCCTGGGCCAGGCGGAGAGAGCTCAGGCCACCCAGGGGACCAATGTGGCTTTTTCATCAAAAGCATCGCAGAACAGCACGTCTGTCCTAGGCCGGGAGGGGCACCCACCTCCAGGAATAACTTGTCCCAGAGCTTCATGTAACATGGTGGGCTCTGACCTTGGGTCTGAGCTGGGTGGGCTAGGGATGGGGGAAGGAACACCTGCCCTTGGAAGGTCCCTCCAAGTCCAAAGGCAGCCACAGAAAACCCCTCCACAAAGCTGTGGCTGAGCCACCTACAGAAAACTGCCTAGGGCTGCAGGGAGAGGCGATGCAGAGAGAGGCCTCCTCAGTGGAGGCGCCGAGACCTATCGGGGTTGGTGACTGCAGTGGCCCCTATGGCCCTGATTGCCTGTTCTGACACCCAGGTCTGGCCAAGCCTACAGTCGCCAGGCACCCCCACCAGTCCCCACTGCCCAGCCCTGACCGCAGCTACACCTGCCAGTGCTGACCCCCTCAACAGGGGGGAACGACGTCTTAGATCATAAAATCAGAGGGAAGTTGTTCTTCCCAGCAGCATGCACGGCCCCACTGCCTGATGGTGGGGCATCTCCCAGAGGCTCGAGCCTCCGGAGGAGACCCGAGCTGTCCTGTGATTCGTTCACAACTGCCTGTGGACAGAGACACTGCCGTTGTTTGAAGCAGGCGCCGTGAGCTCTGACACCGCTGCTGGTTGAAGTCTGGTGCGCCGACCCTGAGCCATGCTCTCCCACTGTTTCTTCGCCATGATGTACAGTCTCATTGCTGCCTGGGCATCCTGGATCTAGGTGACACAGACCACCACCGTGACTGCCCAGCAGGTGACAAGCATGCCGACATGCCAGCCAGTCCCACAGTTACTGAGCTCTAGTGCCAGACCCTGGGCGGGAGAAAACCCAGCAAAGCCGCAGTCCAGCTGTGCGGTCCTCACTGCCCTCTGGTGACCTCGGCCCCCTTACAGGAGGAGAGGGACCCAAGGAAGGGCAGGGACAAGGGTACTGCCTTGTGAGGCACACCCCGACAGCAGAGGGACGGCGGGCCCTGAGCCGGAGCCGGAGCCCCAGACACAAGCAAAAAGAGCCCCGAGGCTGAAGGCCCAGTGCACGTCTGGCCTGGACCGCAGGGTGCTGAAGAGCCTTCAAGGGGCTTTTCCTCCAATTACAATCTAACAGTTTTCTTGTATTAAGTATTGATCAGTTAAATATAAACATTTAGAACCTAACACTCTCTAGGCCTGCAGTGCCACTGCCGTTTTATGGGCCAGCAGCCTCCTTAAAAAGAAAAAAAAGTCACCCAGGCCCCACGGTGTCTGCCACCAGGTGATGTAGCACCTGGCTGTGCGGTCTGGGACATCCCCAACCCCGAGCACAGCCCCCCAGTCACACTCACCGAACAGTGCTCTGCCTGCTGCACCCGGATCCCCAGGATTTGCTCTGCAAGCAGCTTGAGGGACGGCCGCCCACTCTGCCAGGAGAGGGGACAGCACACAGCCACGCTGCGGTGGAGGCCTCTGTAGGCTCTGCCCCAGCCAGGGCCTCCTACTGAGCCCCCACCCCAATGACCTTCATGTGCCTGTTGCTGGAAGTGCCCACAGCACTCAGGACTGGTGACACCCCTTCTCAGCCCATGGGGAGGGGCAGGCAGGGGCAGGCTGCATCTTGGCCTCCGGGCCACAGCAGCTTCTTACCCGCATGTGGGGGGCTCCCAGAGACCAGGGCATGGAAACGGCAGCCTGCCCTCAGTCTCAGTAACTCTCAGTAACTCAAGAACTCTACCTTTTCTTACACAATTCTTTTTAATTTTAAAGATTGAAACACCAAAACCAAAACACCTCTACGCAGTAAGTCAGTGACCAGGGACCAGAACCAGCGATCATGGGAACCAGCACACAGAGCTAGGGCGTTCAGAACCACACGGTTAAGTACCTTCACTTGACTCTTGAAAGGCTTGTATTTCTGTGTGTCCCGAATCTTCTTTTTTGGGTGATCAAGAAATAGTACCTAGAAGAAGAAAACAGCGATAGTCACTTTGATTTTTTGTTTGCAGCAATGGAAGGCTTCTTCAAATAATCTCTTACAAGGAATTTAATCTGTAATACACACACGCAAATAAAAGGTCTGATATGAATCTGAAATTCTGCAAGAAAACTATCAGCGACTAAACGTGAGGCTCAATAATAAGAACCATGCTAATAAAAACACCATCTTGAGACTGAGGAGGTCGGAGCCTAAAACTCACCAGCTAACCTGCAGCCAGTGTTCTGAGTTAGCGTCGCACGTGCAGAGACCAGCACAGTTTACGAACGGTGACACATTTTAATGGCTTATCCCATGATCTCAGGAGAGATTAAACACGAGCCTGCCCAAGTGCCGGGGACAGAGCCCGCGTCAGGAGGGAGCGTAAGCCTCACAGTGGACTGAGGTGAGATTGTGACACAATGCATTTCAGCGGGCAGAGGACTTGTTAGTTTTAGCAGTTCAAATTCTATCTTAAAAGGTAATGAGGTGGCCCATATTTAGTGGTCCCTGAAACATCTGAGGACTCCAGGGTTCCGTGGAACAGTCTGAAAAGCCCCATGGCACAAGGACAGGTCAGCCTCCCTTCTTCCGCCCACGGCCCTCAGCAGCACAGGCGTACAGCACAGACCGTCCAGGAGCAGAGACTGGAAGCCACAGCCTCTGGGGCACCAGAGGCGGATGCGTGGAGCCTGCCTGCCCACACGCCCGCCGTGCTGGCCATCGTGGGCCAGCAGGAGGGAGACGAGAGGAGCCCGGGGCTGCATGGTGCCTGCACATGAAGGCTGCTGGGAGCGCTTCCCAACAGCCGGTGGCATGGACCTCGGAGGAGCACGCATCCCTGCCTTGCCGGCTCAGAGCTGCAGAGGCGGCAGCCTGCCCGTGCTCCCTGCAGAACGTGTCTGAGCAGTGAGCGTGGGACATGGCGTCAGGTCCGGGTTCACAGCCAGCTTTGCCACGTGGACACTGGGTGTGTCACAGCTCACGAAGCCTCGTTTATATACTGAGCGTGAACAGCACAGTCTCCTTTTAAAAGAATTTAATGAGATTGGTTTTATAAAATGCCTGGCACTGCCCCTAGGGCACAGCAAGGACTCGGTAAGCAGCGACTGGTATTGTTACTAGGGTGCTCACAACAGAGGGCACAGATCAAACACAACTCCCACCAGAGCGTGTGTGCAGCCGGCACAAGGGTGTGTATAAGCAGTACCTTTAAATCATTATGTAGTGCGTGTCCAACTAGAATTCGGCCCTTCAGTATGTTTGCCACTTCCTTTTGAACAACTTCAAAGTCTTCTCCTGAAAACCGAACAGAGAACTGCTTTTCAGCCTGTAAGTTCAGATTAGTCTTAGAGACGCGGCCCCTCCCTCAGGCTGGGAGGGAGGTGGACGCACGAAGTGGGGTCAGCTCTGCTGGCTGCAGTGCCAAGGCTGCAGGCATGGGGGGTGGGGGAGGGCTCCACCCACTGCTCCTCCATCCTGCAGGAGGAGAGGGGCACCATGCAGAGGGCATTCGCAAGCACTTACCCCATTTGGCAGAGTAACCCTGACTGCAGAACCTAGTAAGAATCAGGCTTGTGTTTTATGACTTCCAACTAGATACATAAACTAAGAGTGGTCCTTCCCACCGTGAGAAATGCGGGTCTGGACCTTGGGCTCCAGATGCAGCTCTGCCTGCTTCCTCAGTGGACGTCCCCAGGCCCAGCACCCCCAAAAGGATGCGCTGCAGCAGCTGTGCCTACACCAGGGTGCTCAACCCACAGCCCACAGAGTGGATCAGACCAAGGGTGCTGACCCAAGCTGCCATGCCAGAGCCTAGAACCAGGAGACTGCTTGGGCTGGGGTCCCAGGCGAGTGCAGAGATGCTAAGATGCAGACAGAGCGTGTGGGCCAGAGAGAGCACAGAGGCCTCAGTCCTTCACGCTTCCATGATCTCTCCAGGTCCCTAACCGTGCAGTGACCAGGATGCCTTTCTGCTCTTCCTCCCACATAGCCAGTCCATCAGCAAACCCTATAGCTGCAGTCTCTGGGGTCTATCTGGAGGTGGGCCAACTTGTCACCTCATAGCCACATCCTTGACCAGGTCACCACCAGTACACAACTCATCTACCTACAACCTCATGGTGGCCCTGGCATCTTTCTGGACCATGCCAGGGAGAATAGAAGTCCTCACAAAGTGCCGATCTGTGCCCCCTCCCCAGACACATCCAGCCTCCTTACTGACATACTCACTCCACTAAGTGGTACGGAGCAAGTCGGGAACGCCGACCTGTCACAGGTCGGCTGGCTGAGAGGCACAGAGGCGAAGACACGGTGGGCATGGCGGCCAGCTGGAACCAGCCACCAGGGGGATGCAAGACTGCCAGGACTCGTGGCAGCCAAGCTCCCCGACAGGAAGGGGACCAGGGAGCAGAGACCCGGCCTGCTTGGCCTTCACACCCACTAGCTGTGAGCGACCCACCCTTCTTGAGCAGCTCTGGCCGCACCCCGCTGACCGCTGTCCTGTAGTCTGTCACGGGCTGGCTGGGCTTGACGAACTTGTCATAAACACACTTCCCATACTGGTTCACGATGGACACGCGGGCAGCGACGCTCTCTTCCCCCTTGGGGCCCACGCCCACCATCTCACAATCCATGGCTAAGGCTTTGGTCAGGCTGCAGGGGAGCCAAAGGTGCCAGTGTAAGGGGTGCTGCGGGCCCAGCCAGCAGCACCTAAGGCTCCCACCCACCACGCTGCTCCCCATAGGACAACCTCTGTGCATCCTGGCACCCAGCAGGGCACCCAGTTCACCTGGGGGGAAGCAGCTTCTTCCTGAACAGCGCCCCCTGCAAGGCTGAGTGCAGCCAGCAGCCCAGCCCAGCGTACCCGCCGAACGCCTGCTCCTTCACCAGCGTGACGCTGCTCTTGCTCTGACCCAGGCGTTTTCTTGCTATATTGGCTGCTTCTGGGCCTAGGGTCACTTCGATATCCTCCGGGTCAACATCATCAAACCAGATGTCTTCTCTAAAAGGCAGTGAGAAGAGGCCAAGCACTCTGGTTAGCGGAGGCTGCTCACACTTAGTGGAGCGGCTGGGCCCCAGACACCCACTGGACGGGCTGCTGCTGCTATTTTGATAATTTTGATGCTTAACTATATTCCTTTCCTTTTTAATTAAAATACATGCTCACTATACAAAATTTAGGAACTACAGATAAACACGGAAACCATAAAACAGAAACATATAGACTACATATGACAACTGCTAACATTTTCTTTTTAATTACAAAGTACATTCATTACTGAACATTTAGGAAATGCAGATAAACACAGTAATTAAAAAATGCAAACACTGACGTGCCCACCCAGCTGCTAGCTTCACGTCAAACCCTCTGGGCTCCAAACCCAGATGTGTATCTCTGCTTGGCGGATTCCGCCTTTCCGGCTTAGCTAGACGTCACCTCCTCCTGACCCTACTAAACGGACACGCTCCTCTGGCCGGCTGTGCCCCCCAGCTCCTCCCTTGTTGGATTTACCCTGACAACACTTCCAGAATTTACTGAAATAATTTCAGTTTATTGTGTCCCCTACTTGACTATAACCTCAAGAGGGAGGGGCTGTGGTGATCGCTCTGTCTTTGGAGGGCACACCTGGCACCATGACACAGGCAGGCACTCGAGGTGTTCCTTCCTGCCACTGCAACTGTGTCCGCGAGTGGGTGACTTGCAGCCAGCCTGACTTACACATGCCACCTCCGGCTGGGCTACTCGGAGGCAGCCCTGGCTCCTGGCCCTCCCCACGGGAGCAGCCACCACTGGGCTTGGTGAGTAACTACCAGGGGCTGAGCCAGCATGTTGCACCTCACGGATCCCCCCACCCCGGACACCACAGATGACCACCCTGAGGCTCAGGGGATGCCAGAAACTTGCCCCAAACCATCCCACTGTCAAGACGCAGGAACTGGTGTCAAACTGCCTTTCTGGCTTCAGCATGCATCCGTTCCACAGATCTTTACTCGGGACCCCCCGAGTGCCACGTTCTGTTCTAGGCCAAGGAGACACAGCAGCTGTGGTGTAGGCCTGCCTCCATCAGGCCTACTTTCCCGGGGAACCAAACAACAGAGCAAGAATCACAACACAAGGCTAGGTGACGAGGCACTGCAGGAGGGGCCGCCGCCTCAGCTCCTTCAGGAGACAGGCCTTCGTTTGTGACTCTGTTCTCAGGGATGCGATGGCCAAGGCGGCTGTGGCATGGGCCAGCAGACACCCAGTCAGCGGGTGCAGTGCAGCTTGGGCAGAGCCCGTTGGCACTTACTCAGTGGGCAGGGCTGGTGCCAGGGCTGTGGCTGCCTCCTCAGCTTTCCGCTTCTTGTGCTTGAGGGCCCCTCGCCGGGGAGCCACGTCACCGTGCATCCTTTCCTTGGTTCCTGGGCTGCTGTGCTCTGCCCTGATGGCCTTTGTGGGAGGCGCTGGCCCCTTCCTGTCCACCAGAGATACTGAGGGAGCAGGGCCTCTTGGGGCCTTGCGGTCTGCTTTCCCAGTCCTGACCTCCTCTCTCTGGGGTCTACCTGGTGTCACTTTTCCGTTTTGTTGGGTAACATTGGGCTGCTTTTTGGAATCCATCTGAGAGAGAACAACATGCTTTTCCAGGGCCTGTGATTTTTGTTTCAGCAGCTAATGGAAACCAAAATAAAGTACATGACACATTTTAAGTTGGAAATCAGGCATGAGACTGAAAAAACTTATAGGTGTGTGTGTGCGCGCACACACACACACACACACACATCAACTGCTCCTGTATGTACTTCCTATGAGCACTGTTGAAATACATTTTCAAATGGGGAAAAGCCCTTTCTCATTCTCCTATGTAAGTCACTTGTGGTGCAAGGATTTTGTTTATCTCATTATAATGTATAATTTGACAACTGCTTCCTCATTCCTACAAATTTCAAACTCATCTTCAGTACGTGCAGAATGACTGAACCAAAGCAACACCATTCTAAGCACAGGGGATGGTAAGCAACCTACTCTCGTGTTTATGGTTACAGTTCCCTTCAGAGTTATTTCCCTCACAGCTCAGGTCAACAAGCTGGTGCATGGAAACCACGGCCTTCACGAGATTTCTTGGTTTGCCATAGCTGTGAGGGTCTCAGCAAGAGAGAGGGGTGTGTTTGATGAAAAGTTTTTGTGAAGCTGGAAGTGGCTGGAGAACTGCTGGCAGCCAACCTCCATTCTCACGCAGGGAGGGACCTGAGGCCTGCTTGTGCTCAAGTCCCCAGCCAGGCTGTTCGCAAGCACAGTTAAGACCTGGTATTTGGAAACCAGAAGACAGATGAAGAGGTGGTTTCTACTTAACTGTTCCCATAACATTTGGAAAACAGAATGATTTACTTTTTTGAAAGAAATAGAGAAAACTCAAGGTTTTCCCCATAGTAAACATCCCTTCCACTCAATCTTGTTTTACTTTCTTGAGAAAGAGAAAGAGGGAGGTAAAGCTCAAGAAATCATACAGAACCCTGGGTTGCCCGGGGCAAGTTCACTGGTCCTGTCTGTCCGGACAGGAGAATTATTAGGGTTTCCCACCCTAAGACAGAGGCCGTGTTAAGGCTCAAAAAGCTCCTCTCTTCTGAGACCTGCAATGGACTCCAGAAACCTGTAGAAGAGACTCTGAAATTCGGTAGTGGCAAAAGTCACAAACGCATCATGCAGGAACGTGTGACTCTGTACCCCAGGCTGCCATTTACTGACGGTGTGCCCTTGGGCCAGCCTCCTCAAGCTCTCTGCCTCAATGTCCTCATCTAGAAGAAAGTGATGACAACAGCTAACGCCCAGAGAGGTAGACAGAATGTGAAGGAAGCCCATGGAGCAGCGTCTCCCAGGGAGCAACCTCTCCCTAGGGACTGACCGCTGACGTGTTGATATGCGGGTTAAACAAGAGTGTCTACACTTTTTGAGAACTTAGTAACTGGGGACACTTGTTACCAACGGTCCTATTTGCCTGCCCAGGAGTTCTCCACCCGCCTCAAGAGGGCACGTGTCCTGGGAACGGTTCAGTTTGGAGTTTGTACTCGAATCTGCCCGCACAGCCCCCTGTTGGGGACCACGAGTCCTTTGCTCCACCTGCAGTGAAGGGCGGCGTGACAGGCGGGAGGTCCGCGGAGTCCCCCCAGGTCTTACCTCCTGCAGCGCCTTCCAGTTTGGGGAAAAGTCTTCCGGTGCCTTTGGAGGTCGCACCACGACAAGTCTGGGGTCGTTTTCCGGTTTCTGGCTTACGTTCCGCCTTTTTCTCCCCCCGAATCTCTTGTTTTTTTTCCGAACCACCTTCTTGACAAGCGCTGGCTCGGCGCCGGGGGAGCCCGGGGCGCGCTTAGGGGTCAGTGCCTTCGCCTTCGCCATCCCGGCACCGGCCCGGGTCCTGGGGCTCCCGGCCCTGCTCAGGGGGCCGCCGGCGGCCCCGCAGGCGCGGCCTACCGGCTAAGCGCAAGCCCAGCCCGACCCCCGACTCACCCGCGGCGGATACACTGGTCTGTCAGCCCCGGAAGCGGTCCCGGAAGCGACCCCGAGCCCATCTCGGCACGTGCGCCCCAATCGCCGGAAATGCTCGTTTTCCCCCGACTGGCAGGAAACCGGGCCTTCACCTCTGGTTCCGCAAGGCAGAGAGCAGGGAGGGGCTCCTCGCCCAAATGGGGAAAGGGCCACCACCAGCGAGCGGCGTCCGGGGTCAGCGACCTAGAACCTGGTTGGGGTAAATCCGCGGTTTTACCGAAGTCCTGGATGGGGATGAGCAGCGCATGCGCCGGAAGGGGGCTGGGGGGCTGCTGTCAGCGCAGCACCTCGGGCGGGCCTGCAGAGCATGGGGGCGCAGGCGGCCGCTAGGCGGCGCTGGGGGGCCAGGCCTGGGCGAGCCGGGGGCGGAGCGACGACGGCCTGGAGCTCCGGCCACGCCTACAGCGGCTGCCGCTCAACTTCACCGCTCTGGGAAAACTGAGACCTGGGGCGGAACGAGGACCCCCAGGCCGCGCACAGACTGGTTTATCGGAGCCATAGGGCTGCAGGGGCACTTTAGCAATATCTGGAAATAATGACAAAACATTGTAGTAAGTGCTGCATATTATTTATACAACTAACAGAATCGCGCACCTTGCCTGGCGCTGACAGTGGCTAGGTAAACACAGAGGATTCCACTTCCCTAAAGCTTCCAGTCGAATCTCTGTATAGAAATAACCCTGAAGATGATTAAATGAGATGGCGAGGGAAAAGGTTACCTAGCAAAATGCAGGAGCCCAGAGACAGGAATTTTCAGATAAAGAATAATTGTTAGTACAAATAAGTCCCATGCAATAGTTGGGGCATACTTACACTAAAAGAAAAAGCATTTTCTGAAATTCAAATTTAACTGGGTCTCCTGATTTTTATTTTCTAAATGTGACTAACTGGTAGCCGCTTAGGAGGGGTCATGTGGGAAGGCCTCTTTAGGAGGTGATATTTGAGCTGAACCTTGAAGGCGAGGGGCCAGAGGGGATAGCAAAGCATTTGTTGCATCTGGGGAGCGGTGGGGCCAAAGCTCTGTGAGCCAAGAGGAGGGGTCGGAGATGCGGGCAGAGGAGCAGGCAGGGGCCAGGTTGGGGTTATACAACCTTGGAGGCTGCGCTTTGGACGTTTTATTCCAAGGGCAAAAGGAAACCATTGATGGCTTTAAAGCTGCAGAGTGACAGTCTAGCTCGAGTTAAAAGATCACTGTGTTCCGGGTGAGAAATGGGATGGGGCGGGGCATGAGAGAGAAGGGAAGGGGGGGGCCTGTTAGAGGTCCGTTGCGGATAACTGGGCTGGCGGTGCTGCAGCTTGGATTAGGGCAGGGGGTCGGTCTGGACCTCCAGGAAGCAGAGAATGAGTCAGGAGTGCAAACATTAACTGGGGTGGCATGCTGGGAAAGATAAAGGGGGAGACCCAGGGTGGACAGGGAGAGCCACACCCCTGTGCAGACCTGATACTGTGAAAGGACTGGCCGGGATGGAGGCGTAGGTGCCTCCTCCCCTGCAGACGGCCTAGGCAGCCGAGTCCCTGTTATCCATCTGCTGAGCTGTGGGGAGGTGCCCTGGGGGTGTGAGGGGGTGTAAAATAGTGCTTTGGGGAGTGTGACTGAGAACCTTTGGGAAGTGGAGTGGGCTGCCAGGTGGCCTGTGATGCCGAGTGCAAGCCGGTGCCCCTCAGCACGGTTCTGTGGCTCTGTCCACAGCTGCAGGCACAGAATAGAGCTGAGTGCAGGGAGTGCTTGCAGGTGTGAGTGTAGAGGAGGCCCTGGGTAAGGGGGAAAACAAGGACAGGAGAGCAGGCAAAGAGCAGGGAAACAAGGTTGTCCGCAGAGGAGAGGGGTGGTCGGAGCCCACCTGCGGTTACCGACTCCCACGGGAATCCACATCTCTGAATCCTTGGTCTGGTGCACCTTCCTCCAGTCTGGGCTGCTTGGCCCAGCCCCATCCCAGGGTGCAGAACCCGCTGTGGGTGCTCTGGACAAAAGACCAGCTAGCTCAGAGCAAGGCCCAGGTTGCAGTGGGCGGAGCCTGCAGGCCGCCCACCCTGACACCCCTGCCCCTGGAGGAAGCTCCCCAGAGTAAACACAGCCTAACCACCCGCCCAGCGGAGTCTGTCACATTCCACACCAACGGATTCCCAGCCTTCTAGGCTCTCTCCCTCTGCCGCAGGCGGCCTTCCAGAGGATGAGCGTGCTTCACCCCCAGGGGAGCTGTGTGTGTGGGTTTCTCACTTCTGCCTTCTTTCTCCTGGGCTGCTGGGGACGCTCCGATTTCCAGCAGGTGGGTGAATCTCCAGGGGCGGGTGTATCCCCTGGGGAGGGGGCTGCCAAACAGCCTTTGGGTAGAGGAGGGTGTTCTTTTGGCCCTGGGGTTTGCACTGGGTGGAGGAATCTGAGCTTGGGTTTTTGGGGGGTGAAGAAAAAATTGGCTGCACATCTGTTTGTGTAAATCCATAAGCAGCTCTTCATTGCCCTCTCCACTCCCCACTTCCCTCTTGTCCTTTCTGTCTCGCAGCGGTTTCTTCAGGCTTTGAAGCCGGAGGAAGTGACTTCCTACTTTGGCCCTGATGGTTCCCTAAAAGGTACTTGTCCTGGAGCCTTCTTAGTGAGGGGAGATTCTCAGCAACCGCGGGGTGTTCTCACCATCTTGTCAGGAGGCTGGGATTTTCCCTGACTCTGCTGGGAGGAGGTCTGACCTCACCCCGTTACTCTGCCAAGTTGGTAACTGCCGGTCTGAGTGATCTGGACTAAGCCAGGGTTCTGACCCCTGGATTCTGCTCAGTATCTCAAGGGAATGCTTGCTAATTAGCTGGCCTCTTCTGTCCCTGGGCCTCGCTTGGGCTGACTGACTTTCAGGAATTCCTGTGGTTTCTGGCCATGGATGTAAATATTTATCTATTCCATGAGAAACAAGACTCCGGGTCAAGCCCCAGCCAAAGCCCTGCCCCCTGTTGCTCACAGGCTGTGCCTGGGCTTTTCTGAGGTACAGGCCACCCTTCCATGTTCGGCCATTGGTGACTTTGAGCAAAAGGCTGGTGGGGACCAGAGGCAGGGTAGCCCAGTGGTCAGGGTGGAGAGAATTAGGGGATCCCCACCGGGGATGGGCTTCTCTGCGCTCTGGTCAGATGCACGCTGCCCTCTCCTTGGAGCCTGCTGGATGGCCGGTGGGGGCCAGCCACGGAGGGGGGCGCCCCAGAACCTGTGTGTCGCATACCCAGGTCCCCTTAGCTCTGCCCTTCTAGAGGGCTAGATCAATTGCCTGGGGGTCCCAAGCCCCTTGGGAACTACTTTGGAGGAAGGCATCTGGGTAGAGGATGGTGAGGCCAGCTTTGAACTCCCGCTTTCCACCGAGGCCACAGAGGCCGTGCTTGCACCTGCTTTGCTTGTCGGGGGTTTGTGGCCCCACTCATGAAACTCTATTCCAAGGTCAGGCCCAGGATGTAGAGCTGGGAGGAGCTGGACTGAACCCTGATCCCCAGGCTCCAAGCCAGCGCCCCTCCCCAGGGAACCTCAGGCCCCCTCTCCAGGCAGGAGGACCCAGAGGGCCGAGCGTGGGGAGCGCGGCAGCCTCCTGTCTCCAGCAGCACCCCACTTCCACATGGCCCCGCTCACCTGCATCTGTGAGGACGGCCTCGAGGGCTGCCCTGCAAGGCCCCACGCTCTCCCTGTGTGCCCGGGGACAGCTCTTTGCCTTCTCCTTCCGGCTTCACTGCCTCCTTCTCTAATGAGCTCGTGGTGAATGCCTCTCTCCAGCTGCTCGGGGGGCCACCCCACCACTGCTTCACAGGAGGCCGTGCCCGGTGGCCGGGGTCACGTACTGCTCAGGCCACTTGGTGAGTGGGAGCTCAGCCAGCGTCAGGGAGAGATCGTGCTGAGGGTGCAGCTGATGGGACCTGGTGGTGTGGAGATACGTCCCACCCCTACCACATAGGCAGATGTAAGACCCCTAATGCCTGGTATCAGACCCATGGGGCATGTCCCACGGGGGTTGGAAAAGCCATCTGAGTTTCCCAAGGCCACCTAGTTGGCAGGTGGCTGAGCCAGGCGCCAATCCGGAGAACCAGGGGATGGAAAGAATGAGGGCTTTGCAGTCAGGTTCAGCTCTGCCACTCAACACAGACGACCTTAGAGCAGTCACTCAACCCCATCTCTGTGTCTTCAACTGAGAAATGGTGGTAACAGTCAGTCTCTGAGGTTGTTGTGAGGAGTGGTGTTGTGTGTCCATGCAAAGTTTGTCATACACATCACTGACAAGCCAGAGCCACCTATGTCCTTACACATGGGCGGGGACAGATGCCACTCAGGGCTGATCTGGTGACCATCAGTGCTGGTCATTAGCATAGGCCCAGCTAGTCGCTTGAGACCCCCTCCATTCCCGTACATGTGGGACCCACCAGGGTCTGTCCCAGGCCCTGCAGAGGAGCTCAGCGCCACGTGCATGAGGGAGGTTTGGGGCATGGGCCGTGGGCACTGGCAGCAGTTGTAGGCAGTGAGCGCAGCCCCAGAAGGGTGTGGTTCCTAGCTGTCCTGCGAAGATGGGCCTGGAGAGGATTCCTCGGAGGGAGCTCAGGGCAAGCCCGTGCCCAGTGCTGTGACGGCTCAGAGAGGCAGGAGGCCAGGGGGGTAGTGGGTCAGGCTGCTCTCTGTCCTCCAGAAGCGCCACATCCTGGTGGGAGTGGACAGGCTCTACGTCCAGCCGGCGAGGACGCAGCACCAGGAGCTGGTGCCTCACTGGGGCAGTGCCCAGCCCCACCGGATCCACAGGACAACCCACACAGCCCCAGGGGTCATCCAAACTAGAGGCAGAGAGTGGAGGCACCCTCAGAGACAGCTCTGGGGGAGCGACCAGCTCTCCCCAATGCCCGGATGGCTGTCAAGATGCCCAGCCATCTTCTCTAGCATGCAGGGGAGTCCAGCTTACAGGGGAATATGTGTCCACCAAGCCCCCAGACTGGTTGGTGGACAGGTAGACTGCCCATCTAAGAACAGCCCTTCACAATTTACAGAGCACGTTCACAGACGTGCACCTTTGGAGTCTCTCAGCTCTGGGACTGGCAGGACAAGAGTTACTGACTTCCTATGCTGCGGGTGGGGATCCAGAGGCACAAAGACAGGAAGTGGCTGCTCCAGGCTTATACGCAGCCCCAGGGCCCTGCCAGGATCGGGAGCTGGCTCTGCTGCCACTCGTGCCATTCCCAGGCTGCATCTGGGTGCAACCAGGGTGGTGCCTTGGACTTTACCTGCCCTCTTGAGGTGGCCCCCATTCTCCAGCATGTTAGCAGAGGGGTGTCCAGGAGGCAGAGCGGCTGCTGGGGCTTTGGGGCACATTACAGCCACACAGTGCTCCCTGCCTGGCTCCGTGCTGCCGGCTTGCCCTTTCCCGTGTCCTGAAATGCCCAGTCAGTAACAGGATCCAGGCCCCAAGGTGGCCCTTGTGTCTCCAAGCCCAGGAGCACGGGGTGATGTAAAGGTCTGGCTGCAGTGGGCTGTGGGGACAGCTGGCCAGGTAGCCAAAGCCACATCTCACTTGCTTTGTAGGACCTTTACACTCAGCCCTGCCTCCTCCCTCTCCAGGACGTCCTCCTTCCCCTCGACTCCGCAGACAGGCTGTGGGAAGCGTCCTGCATCTGGAGCTGCTGGTGGCCGTGGGCCCCGATGTCTACCAGGCCCACCAGGAGGACACAGAGCGCTATGTGCTCACCAATCTTAACATGGTGAGCACTCCTGGGGGAACGGGCTCCGGACAGTGCCGACCACGAACAGGGCTCCAGGATCCAGGGGCTCTGCTGTCCCGGGAGCCTCTGGACACAGCGCCCCACACCCTGGACTTGTGATGCAACGTCAGAGTGCTGGCTTATCTGGTAGTGTGAACTCGGTGCATTGAACTTAGTGTAAACCTGAGGCTGGGGTAATGCTTGGGGCTCAGGGCCCTAGGGGAGGGAAGGGGCATGGTCTGACCTCCGTCTCCTCCATGTGGAATGGGGGTGGTGAAGTCCAGGAACACCTTTGACTCCTTAGTGCACCCCACAGCCTCTTGCTGCTTTGGTCCCTTCTCTTGGGAGACCCTTACATCTGGCCTCTGCCCCAAAGTCCATTCAATCCATGGGAACTGGGCAGCAGAGCCTCAGCAAACCACAGGGTTGCCCCTCACTGGCTTCCCTCAGCTGCCTTCCCTGCAGGCAGCCCCTAGGTCTGCTGGCATCCCCCTTGGCTTCTAGTGGTAAAGGTGGGGCAGAAAGCATGACTCCCACTAATCAGCTCAGAAGGATAATCAGCAGAGAAACAGGTGTTTTAACAACGTAATGATCACGTTCAATCTAATGGACCATATGAAACCCTGTGCCCATCAACTAGAGAATTCACAGATGCAATACACACAAAATGACTTTGTTCTAGGCAGTTGGGAAATTTCCACAACATCAGGAGATTGACACCACATTGGTGGCAGCAGGACCAGCATTGTCCTCTTGTAAATTGGCCCTGGAGTGGGGGCAGCCCCCCAGGAGTGCAGGGTACTCAGCACCATTTTGTCCCCAGCCTCAGGTACACCTATTTTGGACAAAAGAAAAAGTTCGCCCAGTCTCAGAGGCAGGTCATCCGACCCCTCCCTGTCCCCATGGGCCCAAGGCTACACCCACGTGCTCCTGCTCCCTTGCAGACCTGGTCCAAGTCCAGAACAAGCCTGCTTAGGTTTCCACCTGGAAGCCTCAGAGGTGGAAAATATTTCCTCCATCATCACTTGAAAGCTATTGTTTTCAAGTTTTTGGGGTCCCCCACCTCTAATATGCTGAAATGCCATAGTCATTTGATGTGTTTTACAAGAACCTAAGACAGTGGTAGATATGGGACTGGCTTCTGCCCAGATGGGGTCCAGTGGTCATGGTCACTGTCATGGTCGGTGCCCGCCTGTTGCCAGCCACATTGCTCCTAAGTCTGCCAGCGACCATGGCAGGCTTTACCTCTGTGTTACAGATGAGGAAACTGAGGCTCCGAGGTTAGCTAACAGGATTCTGAACAGACAGGTAGCAAGATGGGGGCCTTGGGTTCAGACTCAGGTCAGCTGAGGCCGGTGAGAGCCAGGTTTTCTCTCCTGAGTGCCATGCCTGATTCAGAGGACAGCTGGTACAAGCGGCTGCAGCACAGGTCAGCCACCATCTTGGCAGAACCTGGAGCCTGACTGTTGGGGAGCCGTCTCACTGGGGTGTCCGGAAAAGGGTTCCAGGGAGAGCAGGAGGACGTCACGCCTCCTCGTGGAGATGGGCAGATTAAGCAAGCAGAGGTGGAGAGAGGTATTTCAGGCAGGTGGGTGGAGATGGGAAAGGACAGGGCGAATCGGCACAAGAGGAGCAGTGTTTGAATGGAACGTTCTGGACTAATGACAGTTGCATCCCTTTGTCTCAGGGTCTGTTTCCTAATGTGTGGGTCGGCCCTTCTGAGCCATAAGCAAAGGGACCATATCTACACGGCGGGCTTCCAGCC